AAGTGCGTGCGAGGAAGTCTGCCAAGGCAAAGAGAAAGTGGTGGTGTTGTCCGAAGAGGAGCATGATGATGAGGCACGACGCGGACGATGAGACAGCTGCTCCAGCAGCGGGTTTAGTTCTAGTGATGATGAGGAGGATGGTGGAAACTTCTGAGTCGAGCCACATGTATGCTGCAGTACTGTGAATATTGATTATCTCTGGTGTTATGCTGCTGCTATTATTATACTTAAAGCAACATTTTGGGCTGTTTTGAAGATTACCCTGAGGCTGCAGTTAAGTGCTGGATGCCAACCCTGACAAACAGCATGAACATTGACGTCCAACCCTGACCAGTACACGTGTTTTTAAGGCCTAGCCCTGACTAGACAGGATGCCCTCCTAGCTGAGGCCCTGATCCCAGCCCCGTCCGACAACCCGGTAATGGAATTTCCACCAGCCAGGCATCCTTCACGGCTCCTGCCCAACTCAATGAACTGTAGACATTTCACAAGAGCAAGCTAATCTGCTCCGATTCAATATAAGCTGAAGAGGCAATGGTGGATGAAGTGTCAGCTGGCAGTACCCGTATATAGCATCTCTTTAAAAGTCCTTAACCATAGTCCATACAACAAGTGTACTCAGTCCGCATCATCGACCTAGGATTCGAAGTGTAGTTGGCTTTAAGCATTTCTTCCCTCTCCAATCTAAACCCGCACTGTAGAGCAATCCGCTTCACATCTGCTGCACTCAATTCTATAGATAATTCGTCGGAGCCATCAGGAGTCAGTGTATCGGCAAAATGGTATAGTAACGGGCCGAGATTTACCCACACTCCGCCCGGCCGAAGCAGCTTAAAAAGAATCTCGATGTAGTCTACGATGTTGCGGGCAGTATCGATGAAGAAGCACGTTGCTACACTGTCCCACACACCTGCGGCGACTCCGTCCGGGGAACCAACGGAGAGATGGGACGAAGGAAGACTTTTGAGGCGCCTCAAAAGTCGCAGAGATGGGACGAAGAAAGGAAAGATGAGGAGTCAGTGCAATGTATGGGTGGGTAAGATTCTGTAAATAAAAGGTAACAACGCAATCCACAACGTCAGTACACTTCAGCCCAATGCTGAAGGGTACTGGTAAGTAACCAGGGGTGAAGGGTCTGGGAAATAACACATAGAAATCCCTCAGTTACGCACATAACTAACATATGCTTTTCCTTAATTGTGGGCGGCGAAGGGCAACGATTAAAGCCTACCTCTCTGCTCGGGGTGACTGTAGACCTCCACAAAATCACCAGCACACATCAATCAGTTACTCGCATTGCTGCTCTACGCTCCCCTTTGCCAATTAGCAAGCCTTCTTTTAGCACAGCTTAAAGCCTACCTCTCTGATCAGGGTGGCTGTAAACTTCCACGAAATCGCCAGCACACATGGAAAACCCCTCGGTGATCCCCGCCAGGCTCGGCACCAGGTCCGGGACAAGCACGGGCCGGAGCTGATCCTCGTCCGAGAGGTTGTTGGAGCTGGAGAGGATCCAGGGGAAGATGCAGAACTGCCCGGGAAACTCGGGGTAATTGAGGAGAAAGCCGGAGCAGATGAGGATGTAGTAGGAGAAGTCGTTCCCCTGGGTTTCGAACCCCAGGCGGGAGATCTCTAGGGCAAGGCGACCCAAGCCTGCTCCTGGAACGAGGCAGGTTGGGGGGTGGGGATGGGGATGGGGATGGGGAGTGGAATCCTGCTGGGACGGGGTACTGGAACCCTGCTGCTGCTGCTGATGTTGATGCGGGTGCTGATCTGCCCTTTGCTGTTGATCCTGCGAATTCTGCCCTAAAATCTCGTGCTCAGTTTGCTCTGAAGGGACTTGCTGCCCAGCAATCTCCACTGAGTGCACCTGCTGCCTCTTGACTGGATCTCCCTTCCGCGCTCCCCAGCCCAAGAAACTTCCTGCGAAGCTCCCTCAAGATGGGGGCGTAGCACTGTTCACGCTCTGCCGCCCCCTCCGCCGCCCAGTCCCGAACTATGTTCCGAAGAACGCACCTAACCTTGTCCACGTCAGCAGGCGGCACGTCTGGGAGATTCCGAGGCAAGGGGAACCACGGAGGGGGGTACACCCGGGGTACATTGGCAAATGACCCGGGAATTCGAGGTCTAGAAGAGGCAGGCTGCTCTTGTGCTTCCTTGTGAGAGGGCGACACTTGGGGGAAGGAAGGCGGGTGTGCTTCTACCAATGGGCCTGATTCTAACGTGGTGTTTCTCCCACCTCCTCTCTCCTCCTCTTCTGTTTCGTCCTTCCCCACCTCTCTCCCATTCAACCCCTCCTCTCTTTCTTCCAGCCCCATAGCATCATCCATCAAAGGAACGCTCCTTGCTTGCACGGCTGCGGGTGCCCTTTGCTGCTGCTGCTGCTGCTGCTGGTCGTGATGATGGTGGTGGTCAGCATGTGACGGTGCATGGTTACAACCATGGTTATATTCTCTGCCTGATGCATGATCATGCCCATCCCCATGCCCATCCCCATGCCCATCCCCATGCCCATGGGCATACTCATCACAACCGCCATGTGCAAATGCACCATGCTCATGTCCATGCTCACAACTACGCTGCTCATGGTGACGTGCAAATGCGCCATGTGCACCATGTGCGCCATGCTCATGCCCATCCCCAAATGCACCATCCCCATAACCATGTGCACCATCCCCATAACCATGTGCACCATCCCCATAACCATGTGCACCATCCCCATAACCATGTGCATGAGGCTGGGAGGGAGGGAAGGGAGGCTCGAACGCCTGAAGCATTTCAGTGAGGAAGCGGGCGTTGTGTGCGATGCACCTGCAAGGATGGGGGTAGGAAAGGGAAATACCTGGTATTTTAGGGAGGCCATTGAGTGCATGCGTTGTTTCATAAAATCACTTCAGTGCATCCTGTGAGAGGCTGACGTGTCATGCATCTGGATATGTCTTGATGACGTGGCAGGACATGAATGATGACTTGGAATGGAGAAGACGCCCTACGCACAAACAGCAAAACAAAACTCCCAACGCCAGTACATGCTAGTAGAAGCATGCAAACCCATATGAGAATCCATAGTTTGTTTGTGTAACCATGGGCTCTCATACGGAACAAAATGCAGACGTAAATCCATCAAGATACCGTGGGACACTCACATGCGAATGGATGCATATTTTGCGGGCAGATGCGACAGCAGGGCCTGGAAATTTACACGTGGAAAGAAGAATTGGGAAAGTAAGCAATAGAGGGCAAAATGAAAATTCGTGATTGAGATTAACCAGGTAGACTTGTCATGAGAACGGAAATACGTGTGCCTCACATTTATAAAATAATTGTGAGGCCGTTCATAAAGCAGCATACAGAAACAGGAAGCATCGGACGAATCAGCCTTGGAGTTAGAAAATAAAGAAAGGACAGCTAGATTACACACAAGGCCTTCGAGCAGTTTCAAAGCCAAAGTCCCAAAGCCAGATTCAAAGGAGGGAACGAACGAGAAACGCGTGAGCCGGTTATAAGGGATGACGTGGCATATACACCTGTTGACGTGGCGACAGCCTGGCGTAGGCCCGCTCCCACCGCTGCACCGTCCAGTCGGCCGCAAAGGGGTAGCTGGTGGAAGGGAGGGGGGAAGAGGGGAGAGGAAGAAGGAAATGCAGATTTGGAAGGGATGGATGGAAGGGGGGATGGGATGGGATGGGATGGGATGGGATGGGATGGGATGGGATGGGATGGCGACGTGAATGTAAATTGTACTCAGAGATCTCAAAACAGATTTACTTTCACGTGGGATGGAGTGTCATGGCGATGGCTCGCTCCCACCGCTCCACTGAAGGGGGTGGAGGCAATGGCAATGGCAATGGCCCACTGTCCACTGGAAGGGGGTTAGCTGGTAGAGGGAGATGGATGGAAGGGGGCATGGGATGTCGTGTCATGGCAATGGCTCGCTCCCACCGCTCCACTGTCCACTCGGCAGCAAAGGGGTAGCTGGTGGGAAGGGACGAGGGGAGATGGATCGAAGGGGGGAAGCGGAAAAGGGGTAGCTGGTGGGAAGGGACGAGGGGAGATGGATCGAAGGGGGGAAGCGGAAAAGGGGTAGCTGGTGGGAAGGGAGGAGGGAAGCGGAAAGGGGGGGAGAAGGGCGGGGGAAGAGACGAGGGGAGATGGATCGAAGGGGGGATGGGATGGCGTGTCATGGCGATGGCTCGCTCCCACCGCTGCACCATCCACTGGAAGGGGGGTTAGCTGATAGAGAGGGGGATGGATGCAAGGGGGGGCTAAAGAATGTAGCCCCACTCGCATCACTCACTTCATATAAGCGGCGATCACGCGCGACAGCGATTTCGTCTCTTCCTCCGCGTTCAGCTTCCGATTCCCTCCTGTACCCGTTATTGCACGCACTGCTAGGATTGTACTGTTGTAGCCCCACTCGCATCACTCACTTCATATAAGCGGCGATCACGCGCGACAGCGATTTCATCTCTTCCTCCGCGTTCAGCTTTGCAGCCCCGCCGCCGCCACCGTCACCCTCGAGCGCATCCGGTAACCCCGCACTGCCACGTGGATCCGCGAATTCAGCCGCCACATGCGCATGCGCATGCTCCATCGTTCCGCGCTGCACCTCTGAAACTCCCTCCCCTTCCGCGCATGGAGTTTCCGCTTGCCCAAGTGCTCCCCCTTCCGCGCATGGTGCTTCCGCTTGCCCTAGTGCTCCCCTTCCGCGGATCCCTCCGCTTCCGCGATTCTCTCCGCGGCATGCATAACGCAGCGGCTGGATGGGTGGTTGGTGACTACGGGAAACAATCGCTACTAGTCTAGGTGACCTTTGAGTCGACTCAAAAGCCGCAGTGGCTGGATGAGTGGTTGGTGACTAAACTAAACAATCGCTGATCTATCCTGTGGCCTACGAAGGCTACGATGCTCTAATGGGTCCAATTGAGTAGGAACGAGCAGCCGACGAAACGGGACGAGTGGGAATGAGTGGAAAGAGCAAGGAGTGGTAAGAGCGAGTGACTAGGATAGTATGGGGGGGGGACGGAACGGGGGGAAATACAGTTGGGAGGGATGTGAGAAAGCCATCCGCGCTCAGGATGACACCGCAACAACCTAGAGATCACATGGCGATTATGGCTATGCATACAAAATATGCCACTGTACTCAAAACAAGGAAGGACTCGCACTAACCATATTTATGCGTAAAATACCACTGAAAACTTAAGGAAACGAAAAAACTCATATTTCAAATTACACCACTAAAACGAGCTACCATCAATTTTCCAACTTGCAACTAGATATTAATGAAAGGGCTGGTCCTTACAAAGTGATGATATACATGAGTATTGGCTGAAAGCAGAAAACAATACAACAGCGTTTCTCGAGGTCATCGCTCATTCCTTTGAATCACGGGCGAGATACTCAGCGATCGATAACAACGAAACGTCATATCCCAATATTTTCGACGTGCCCCATTGGTTGAATATTCGAGCAGCATCCCACCCAACGAATCAACTGAAACCTGCCCCTGAACCGTTATTGGGCCACGCGCCCCGCGAGGACTCAGCAAGGGTCTCCAAGGGAGAAGCCCGTCGGTTGTGAAGCTTTCTGCTCGGTTTTGTTGCTTACCGATCGGTGGTACTGGGTGAACAGTCATTGGCGGAGTTTGACACCTGCCTTATCCCTTCCTCCCGTTCGTCTCCATTCCAAACTTCAGTTTTCAGGAATAAGTACTCCTCCCGTTTCAACGAGTATCAAGCTCAGCAGCACACACTTACACTTGAAATTCCATCACCCTTTCAGTCGGACATTATGGCCGCTCTCGCCAACGCTGCTGTGCTCCCCTCCACCTTCGTCGGCCAGAGCGCTGAGCTCGCCGCCAAGGTCAACAACGTCGATGCCCGTGTCACTATGAGGAAGACCGCCAAGGCGGCTTCTAGCAGCCAATTCTACGGCCCCGACCGCAGCCTTTTCCTTGGCCCGTACTCCTCCCCCCCGTCGTACCTCACCGGCGAGTACGCTGGCGACTACGGCTGGGACACGGCGGGTCTGTCCGCTGACCCCGAGACCTTCGCCAAGAACCGTGAGCTGGAGGTGATCCACGCTCGCTGGGCTCTTCTCGGCGCGCTCGGCTGCCTCACCCCCGAGCTGCTCGCGGGCAACGGTGTGAACTTCGGCGAGGCCGTGTGGTTCAAGGCCGGCGCTCAGATCTTCTCCGAGGGTGGCCTTGACTACCTCGGCAACCCCAGCCTGATCCACGCCCAGTCCATCCTCGCCATCTGGGCGTGCCAGGTCATCCTCATGGGCGCCGTCGAGAGCTACCGCGTTGGTGGCCTGGAGGGCTTCCAAGAGGTGGAGGACCCCCTGTACCCCGGCGGTGCCTTCGACCCCCTGGGTCTTGCTGACGACCCCGATGCTCTGGCTGAGCTGAAGGTGAAGGAGCTGAAGAACGGCCGCCTCGCCATGGTGTCCATGTTCGGTTTCTTCGTCCAGGCTATCGTCACCGGCAAGGGTCCCCTGGAGAACCTGTCCGACCACCTGGCTGACCCCACCGTGAACAACGCGTGGGCCTATGCCACCAACTTCACCCCCGGTGCTTAAATTCCTGGTCTTGACTTGTACATGTATATTATAGCTTAAATATATATCAATGAATTTCCTATTACACGGTACATAATTTGCCACATCCCGGATAGATTTCGAACCACGGACCTGCGACCCTGAAGCCACGACGCGTGAATGTCTCGCGCTTGTCCTGCCAATCGTGATACGGCAGGTGTCGCAGTCGCAATCACAGTAGCTGCTCGGAATAATGATTGGCGACAGAGAGGCCCTTACATTCAACATTACTGTGTCAGTGAACAGCAGAAAGCAATCATTCCGTCAAACCTGCTCCCCTGACTTGTGTCTGTTGGATGCTCTTATTTGTGGTGATTTGTTTTGTGTTTGGTTTGGATAGCCTGGCTGCCTTAGAGTTGTATACGCCCCCAAAAGTTTGAGTTGGCCCACCGCTCCGCTTGTATTGGTTGATTTTGCGTCGTCGCTACAATCACAATGCCTTGACGTTTGGAGAGAATCATGCGTAGTCCAATCAGCTTGCACGCCACGTCACAAAGAGATCGCCAGGTTGCTAGAAACCTAGTATTCCTGCGCAGTGGGCTCGTGTTGACGAATCTAGCGAAACGACGCGAACAATTCCCGCCTCATTACCACATCCTCGCCACGCTCGTGACTTCAGCTATGATGTGAACCAGCCTCACCATACACTTGAATCACATCAGGCGAAAACACACAGCCAACGAGATTGGCTGAGCCCCGATTGCGTGGATTTCCAATTTATTCGGCGGGCAGATCCCGAAGCATATCGAAAACTTTCGGGCATGCGGTTCACAATCCGTCAGCATCCAATGAGAATGCGCCTGGACCCAATGCCAAGGATTCCATCCAACCTTGAATTTCTCTGCCTGACCTCCTCTTCAGGTAGATAAGCTGCTTTGATTCCAAACTTTTAATTCACAGCTGCTCAGATCCAGGAATCGTACCCAACAAAACAGCTTCTGTTACCAATTCAGACATCAGCCTAACGCTAAGATGGCTGCTCTCGCTAACGCTGCTGTGCTCCCCTCCACCTTCGTCGGCCAGAGCGCTGAGCTCGCCGCCAAGGTGAACAATGTCGAGGCCCGCGTCACCATGAGGAAGACCGCCAAGGCGGCTTCCAGCAGCCAGTTCTATGGCCCCGACCGTAGCCTGTTCCTGGGCCCGTACTCCTCCCCCCCGTCATACCTCACTGGCGAGTATGCTGGCGACTACGGCTGGGACACGGCTGGTCTGTCCGCTGACCCCGAGACCTTCGCCAAGAACCGCGAGCTTGAGGTAAGCCTTATGGAAGTTCTGACTGTCACAACGAATCCCATTACCTTCGTAGTAAGGTGCATTCATCCAGATAATAAGAGTTATGTGCGTAATTACATCTTCCACTTATGGTGTTACTTCTCCAACCATCAGGTCATCCACGCTCGCTGGGCTCTCCTCGGCGCGCTTGGCTGCCTCACCCCCGAGCTGCTCGCGGGCAACGGTGTGAACTTCGGCGAGGCCGTGTGGTTCAAGGCCGGCGCTCAGATCTTCTCCGAGGGTGGCCTTGACTACCTCGGCAACCCCAGCCTGATCCACGCCCAGTCCATCCTCGCCATCTGGGCGTGCCAGGTCATCCTCATGGGTGCCGTCGAGAGCTACCGCGTTGGTGGCCTGGAGGGCTTCCAAGAGGTTGAGGACCCCCTGTACCCCGGCGGTGCCTTCGACCCCCTGGGCCTGGCTGACGACCCCGATGCTCTGGCTGAGCTGAAGGTGAAGGAGCTGAAGAACGGCCGCCTCGCCATGGTTTCGATGTTCGGCTTCTTCGTCCAGGCCATCGTCACCGGCAAGGGTCCCCTGGAGAACCTGTCCGACCACCTTGCTGACCCCACCGTGAACAACGCGTGGGCCTATGCCACCAACTTCACCCCCGGTGCCTAAATTCCTTGTCGTGACTTGTACATGTACATTTACTAGCCTAGTTTAATTTAAGTATCCCTCCAGTCTTCGTCTTGAATTTTACGTGGAGAACATTCACGGGTTCCGAGGCGATTAACGAGCTCTAAGCAACAAATTTCTTTTGCGACACCACAGGCTTCGAAACGTCACCTCATATGAAGGTGATAATCCAAATAATGTTTCTGCCTTCTAAATCACAATGATGTTTCTGCCTTTGGAGAGAAGCAATGGCAGAATAGTAGCAAGCTGAGGGTAGGATGACAGAAGAAAGAAGTAGCGTAGTGGTAACAGCAGAAGTCATGAGCAACAAATTCCACCAGGGCATCTGCTCAATCCATCCTTCCGATTGGATAGGCGGGCTACCTTTCGCGTGGTGCGGCTGCCAGCAAATGTTGGAACTGGCAACAATCACAACTCTGCTACTATTGGTTGATTTTGGTGATATCGTTCATTGTCCAATCAGCTTGCACGCCACGTCTCAGTACAAATTCGCCAGATTGCTGGAAACCTGGTCTGGCATGTGTTGACGAAACCAGCGAACAACCGCGAATCATTCCCGCCTTCCTTACCTCACTCTCGCCACGTTTGTAACTTCCGCCATGATGCGAACCATGCTTCACCAAACACCCCGACCACATCAGTGGGGAACACACACCCATCGCGATTGGCTGGGCCCTGATTGCGTGGATTTCCAAGATGGCATCGCCGCCAGATTTCGAAGCATCATCCGAAACTTTGTGAGCACGCGGTTCGCAAATCCATCAGCATCCAATCAGAACGCGCCTGGACCCACACCCAAGAATTCCATACCGCCTAGCGCTTTTCTCCCTGGCCTCTCTCTTCAGGTTGAAATGCAGCTTCAAATCACCAGCGAAGCAAACTAAGGACCTAGTTCCAGGAATATTATTCAAACAGCTGCAGCTATACTCCGGGCATTTTCTAATCGTTACGATGGCTGCTCTCGCTAACGCTGCTGTGCTCCCCTCCACCTTCGTCGGCCAGAGCGCTGAGCTCGCCGCCAAGGTGAACAATGTCGAGGCCCGCGTCACAATGAGGAAGACCGCCAAGGCGGCTTCCAGCAGCCAGTTCTATGGCCCCGACCGCAGCCTTTTCCTGGGCCCGTACTCCTCCCCCCCGTCGTACCTCACCGGCGAGTACGCTGGCGACTACGGCTGGGACACGGCTGGTCTGTCCGCTGACCCCGAGACATTCGCCAAGAACCGCGAGCTTGAGGTAAGCCTGATGAAAAATTTTACTGTCTCATCCCATCACATTCCCTTCGTAGTAATGTGCATTCCTTCAGGAAATCATCCATTTTTTGCGTAATGTTGTCATGAAGTCATCCATTTCTGGTGTTGCTTCTCCAACCATTAGGTCATCCACGCTCGCTGGGCTCTTCTCGGCGCGCTCGGCTGCCTCACCCCCGAGCTTCTCGCGGGCAACGGCGTGAACTTCGGCGAGGCCGTGTGGTTCAAGGCCGGCGCTCAGATCTTCTCCGAGGGCGGCCTCGACTACCTCGGCAACCCCAGCCTGATCCACGCGCAGTCCATCCTCGCCATCTGGGCGTGCCAGGTCATCCTCATGGGTGCCGTCGAGAGCTACCGCGTTGGTGGCCTGGAGGGCTTCCAAGAGGTGGAGGACCCCCTGTACCCCGGCGGTGCCTTCGACCCCCTGGGTCTGGCTGACGACCCCGATGCTTTGGCTGAGCTGAAGGTGAAGGAGCTGAAGAACGGCCGCCTCGCCATGGTTTCGATGTTCGGCTTCTTCGTCCAGGCCATCGTCACCGGCAAGGGTCCCCTGGAGAACCTGTCCGACCACCTGGCTGACCCCACCGTGAACAACGCGTGGGCCTATGCCACCAACTTCACCCCCGGCGCTTAAGCGTCTTGATTTTCCATTAAAAAAAAAAGCTCTGTACATTTTGATTTTAATATGTAAGCATCTTCCCATCGCTCTCATTGTTGTCGAACGGATGTGGTGTGTCAGTGATGGTGGTTTCACAAGTTCTGAATCCATCAGCAATGATTCTTGCAAAATGAAGATGACTATAAAACATGTTCGGTTTCTGCTTCCTCCCACTTAAATCAGCGGCTGCTTAACAGCTATGCATGTTCCAGGTTTAAAAATACCGTCAAATCTCGTAACCATCTTGCAGTTGTTGTCTCGGTTTGTGCTTCAGCACCCTCTCCCGCGAGTAACTACGGATGGGAGGAAATGCGGCGCGAATGTCAAATTGGAGGCACAACTGCTGTAGACATAAGCAAGTGAGATCGTAGATCACACATAGTGATAGAGCCTTGTATTAAATCATTTTGTTGTGCTCTGCATAGTACGTCGACTGGTAGTTTGATATTCTTTTAGATAATTATTGCAGTGGACGATAGGTTAGTACGCCAATATTCAATCGCGCCTTGCTTCCCCAATTTGACTACCTCGCAAGCATTCAAATGTTGATATTGGTAGCAAGTGTACAAATAGATCAGACTTTACTTGCATTACAGGCAATGACTTAATTTGAACAGTGCTTTGAAGGTTATTTTGAGGAGGTGTCCCTGGACAAATGCAGTGATGGAAGTGCGGATTTCTGAGCCAGAAAATGCAGGCAAGTTTTCCTGCTTTGACAATGCCTGCATTTTTTGTACGAAAAACAGGATCAAAATTATGTATAATGAATAATTACAGGATCTTTTACGAGGTGGCTAAGATCTGCTTCATGGGGTAAAGATCTCGGCGTACACCCAGGCGTTGTTCACGGTGGGCTCAGCCAGATGCTCAGACAGGTTCTCCAGGGGACCCTTGCCGGTGATGATGGCCTGGACGAAGAAGCCGAACATCGACACCATGGCGAGGCGGCCGTTCTTCAGCTCCTTCACCTTCAGCTCAGCCAGAGCATCGGGGTCGTCAGCAAGACCCAGGGGGTCGAAGGCACCGCCGGGGTACAGGGGGTCCTCCACCTCTTGGAAGCCCTCCAGGCCACCAACGCGGTAGCTCTCGACGGCGCCCATGAGGATGACCTGGCACGCCCAGATGGCGAGGATGGACTGGGCGTGGATCAGGCTGGGGTTGCCGAGGTAGTCGAGGCCACCCTCCGAGAAAATCTGAGCGCCGGCCTTGAACCACACGGCCTCGCCGAAGTTCACGCCGTTGCCGGCGAGAAGCTCGGGGGTGAGGCAGCCGAGCGCGCCGAGCATGGCCCACCGCGCGTGGATCACCTGAGAGTAGTAAGGGAATTCGCTGGTCAGGAGGAGTGCATTCTGGTTGTGCCATTCACGACGACGAACTTCTCAAGCCATCGGTTCATTTGAGCGATGCACGGACCGTGTGATGCGCTGTAGTGCGGACGAAGGAAATTCAACCGGATTCGAATGTGACTCCGGGTAGAAATGGTAATTCGGTTGAACTTACCTCCAGCTCACGGTTCTTGGCGAATGTCTCGGGGTCAGCGGACAGACCAGCGGTGTCCCAGCCGTAGTCGCCGGGGTACTCGCCGGTGAGGTAAGACGGGGGGGAGCTGAAGGGGCCCAGGAACAGGTTGCGGTCGGGGCCGTACCACGCGCTGCTGGAAGCCGCCTGGGCGGTCTTCCTCATGGTGACGCGGGCCTCGACATTGTTGACCTTGGCGGCGAGCTCAGCGCTCTGGCCGACGAAGGTGGAGGGGAGCACGGCAGCGTTGGCGAGAGCGGCCATGGTTTCTGTCTGAGCTGAGTCGAATTCGGTAGGAAGCTAAGAGAAATAGTAAAGCAGCACAAGGAATTCGACTCTGTTGATTCATTACAGAATTTGCGGCTGCTTATGTAGCAGGTGCGACGAGAGCAAAGCAGAACAGACCAGAGCAGAGCGACTTTCTGTGGGGGAGGGCAGGGGAGGGGGAGGGGGGACCACGAGAATGGGGGGAGCATGGCGGGGAGGGGAGGGAGGTGTAGTTGGGCGGAAGAGGAGGGGAATGGAATTCAAGGGAAAGGGGAGTGGCGGAGATGGTGCGAGGGGCTCGGGGCAAGGGGGCGGGAGAATTGAGGCGGGAGAGGGTCCGCGTGGGAGTCGGTCCGGGGGGACGATGCGGGAGTTTTGGTTGTGTAAGCGCGCCGAGGTGATGAAAAAAGAGGGAGATCGCGGAATTCCCTGGAATTTTGAGAGCGCGCCAATGCCTCTCTGTTGTTTGGTTTCAGGCCTCCCATCATCAGTGAAACCAGTTTCCATGGAGCTTCGTTTAGAGAAAATCGGGTACAGAACAGTGCATTGTGAGTACGGTTGATGGACCATCCGTTCTGCCCGTGGGGCATGGCGCGGGCTGAACCAATTTTACCCCTAGAAATGCCAACTGGAGCTGCAGAAAATTCTTCGAGTTTTCCAGAAGCACATGCCTCAAGGGGAAAGGGCATCCAAAAGAGCTTTGACCATTGCGCTTGTCTGAGGTGAGGAGGATTACGAGGTCCAATCAGAGTTCACCGCCAGCCGATCTCAATCCAGTGAGTGGTCAAAATTTGTCAGCTTGAGATGTCGGTTGAAGTCCCTGCATTTCGTTTAGCACAACAACACTAAGCTGCTGCATCTATTTACTTACAAACATGAAAAAAGTCGTCCATAACAAAACCTGATTTGGCCATGAAAAAATCGTCCATTGCATTGCTGTTTAAAAATATCATCGTAGGATTATGGTTTTTTTTTCATTTTGCAATTCATCCCAACAAACTATGGCCATGTTTGTTGGAATACCTACGTGGTTTTGGTTTCACTCCCCTTTAGGGCCATGTGCACACCTTGATGTAATTGCTCAACTCAATATTGATTCTGGAACACTCATACTGCGTACATGCTGACGTGGTGCTAATTTGAAATTTTACCAATCAGTACGTCAAAGGATGACATGGGCCTATTTGGCCAATCACGAAACCAGCTAAGGATGACGTGGACCCATTTGGCCCATTGGGCCTTTCTCGAGTAGGGCGAGGTACATTTCGTTCTTGTATGCTAAATTTGAACCTTCATCACACTGCACCCTGCTGTTATGGTTATGCATCGCCCTAAACCGTAGAAAACCCATTTTCTAATCCCGAACTTGCAGTTTTTACAAGCCATGTTCCGTCAACCATGGGATCCCGAAGAACAAGCTCCCATGGCAAAATCCCATGACAAGCTCCCATCCATACTAGAAGTTAGAACCGAAATCCCTTGACAAGTTCAACGTCGCCAGCGAAGGGAAAAGAGCAAGTGCAGCAGCGGTTGGCTGGGCTGTCGGTGTGTGGTAGTAGTAGTAGGCGCATCCGCGTAAAAGACTAGGACGTCCTGAATCCTTACAAGAAGAAGATCGTACGGAGAAGATCTCTAGAGCAGGCATGGATCGCCGCGGCGGCGTTCTAGATCATCCTGATAGATCCCGCCTCGCGGATTCTCAGCCGTCGGATCGAACTGGTGCTGGCGGCGCGACCGGATTTCACGGAGACCTGGCGCCGCCTCCGCACTCTCAGCATGATCCGTTCCCCCGATGGGGATCGCAACCCCAGATTGCGGGATCTCGGTTTCCTCCCTTTCAAAATTCCGGATATAGCAGGATTCCGCAATCCAGCGGGGAAGGCGGTGGAGGGGGTGAGAGAGGAGGGAGGGATAGGCGAGGGGGATTTACCCGGCATAATTCGTGGGGCGGGATGTTTCGATTGAAGCACTCGCAGTCGCATAAGAACCTCATGGCGGCGCCGCTCCCCAAGTGCCTCACTTTCTGGCAGCTCATCCCGCTAGGTACGCGCTAGAAGCTGGTTCGTTAGAAACGTGCTAGAAACTGTTTCTTCAGGTACGCGCTCCAGACCACCTTGCTCTGTGATCAAAACCATCTGACCAGAGCCAGCCGTTTCAGCTGACCTCATACTTACGTCAGCTGCTGATTTCCCTTAGACTCTGGCTCCTATGGTGCACCCCACTCATGCTTACGTCATGCCAACCCTTCTCGCACGCACAAGAGGAATGGGGTCCACCATAGGGGCGGGCGTCTATGTTCTCACAGGCACAGTGGCACGGGAAGAGACCGGACCACAGCCCATCCTTTCAATGTTTTGCCGTCATTCGCTCTCATGCCCGCTCATGCCCGCTCATGCCCGCTCATGCCCGCTCATGCCCGCTCATGCCCGCTCATGCCCGCTCACCATCCCCTCCCCACTCACCGACCACAGGAGTGGGGTCCACCATAGGGGCGGGGGTCTACGTGCTCATAGGCACAGTGGCCCGAGAGAAGGCAGGGCCAGCGCTGCCGCTCTCCTTCCTCATTGCAGGGGTAGCGGCGGGTCTCGCCGCTCTCTGCTACGCCGAGCTGGCCAGCCGCTGCCCGTCCGCTGGGAGTGCGTATCACTACGCGTACACGACTGTGGGGGAAGTGTGAGTATTACTGGGGGAGGATCTACCTGGGTTAGGTGTGAGTGCATATGCTTGCCTGGGTCTCCTTCCTCCTAGCAGGGGTAGCGTCGGGCCTGGCTGCTCTCTGTTATGCCGAGCTGGCCAGCCTGCCCCTCTGCTGGGAGTGCGTACCACTACGCGTACACGACTGTGGGGGAAGTGTGAGTGGGACTGGGGGAAATGAGAATCGGGAAGGGAAGGGAGGTGAAGGTGCAAGTGCACTGGCCCACACCACTCTCCTTCCTCATAGCAGGGGTAGCGGTGGGCCTCGCTGCTCTTTGCTCCGCTGAGCTCGCCAGTCGATGCCCCTTTGCTGGGAGTTCGTATCACTACACTTACACCACCGTGGGGGAAGTGTCAGTGGGACTGGGGGAAATTGGAATTGGGAAGGTGCAATTGCACTGGCCTATATGACTCTCCTTCCTCATAGCAGGGGTAGCGGCTGGCCCCACTGCTCTCTGCTACGCTCTCCTCGCCAGTCGCTGCCCCTCTGCTTGGAGTGCGTATCACAATGCTTACACCACCGTCGGGGAAGTGTGAGTGTGACTGGGGGAGGTTTTACCTGGGGGAGGTATGACTGGGGTAGGTGCGTTCTCTGCTACGCTGAGTCAGCGAATCGATGCCCCTCTGCTGGGATTGGGTACCACTACGCTTACACCACCGTGGGGGAAGTGTGAGTCGGAATGAGGGAGATTTTACCTGGGGGAGGTGTGACGGGTAGGAATGCGTACCATTATGCGTCCGTGGGGGGAGTGTGAGTTTGACTGGGGAAAGTGGGTTTGGAGGGGTTGTTGGGAGGGTGAGGGGATGGCGAGGCTGGCCTCTGATTTTCGAAAATAGAGCAGCATATCACACAATATGTGATTTTCCTTATTTGTGGATCGGCAGTGGCCTGAGCAGCATATCACACAATAGAAGGGTTTTTTCTTTTTCTTTTCCTTTCTTCTTTTCTTTTCTTTTCTTTCCTTTTCTCCTGCCTGCTGATATCACCAGGGTGGCGTGGCTGATTGGCTGGGCGCTGATTCTGGAGTATTCTGTCGGTGGAGCGGCGGTGGCCCGTGGCATCTCACCCAACCTGGTACTTGCGTCTGTGCATTCAGGGGTGCACGCATTGCTTGCACTGTAGATGGCACACTCCCTCCCTCCCTCCCTCCCTCCCTCCCTCCCTCCCTCTGGCTCTTCAGTGCCGGGTGACTCTTGAGTGCAGGTGTGAGTGCTGTAACACTTCTGTCAGTGGAGCGGCCATGGCCGCCACCCAGTACCCTCTCTTTCTCTCCTTTCCATGTGACCGTGTTTGGACAATGAGATAGGCGTGCCCCCGCAAACATCGCTCAGATAGGCAGACAACGCAGCTTTCAACATTGCACAAGCCTATCTCAGAGTTTAGCATCTATGAGCTCCCGACTGAGTGCTCTGTCCCTCCCCATTACTCGTGTTCAGGCGACGGCGCTCGGAGGGGCAGACAACGTTCCCTTCATCTCGCCTGCCTGTCACTTGGAGGCGCCGATGAACTTCAAGCGTGCACCTCCTCTCCTCTCCTCTCCTCACCCTCCTCTCCTCTCCTCTCCTCTCCTCTCCTCTCCTCTCCTCTCCTCTCCTCTGCCTCATTTTCAGGGGACGGCGCTCGGAGGGCCGGACAATGCGCCCTTCATCCTTGCGCGCCTGCCCAACTCTTTGAGGCGCCTGTTCACTCCAACCTCTCCTCCTGCACGCCTGCCTGCCACTTGTATCCCACCATCTCTCTGGCGTCCAGGCGACTGCGCTTGGAGCGGCGGACAACGTGCCCTTCATCTTTGCTCGCCCTTTTTAGGCGCCTGTAATCTTCCAGCTTCACTTAATTCTTTCTCTCTCGCACTTTCTCCCTCTCAATTCCAGGCAACGGCGCTCGGAGGGGCGGACAACGTGCCCTTCATCCTTGCTCGACTGCCCATCCCAGGCACCACCATGGTCCTGGATCCTTGCGCTGCCCTCATGGTGGCGCTGGTCACTGCGCTGCTGTCTGCTGGCATTAAGGAGGTGGGTGTTGGGATGCACACCGACATTACACCCTTCGTCCTTGCACGCCTGCCCATCCCCAGCACCACCATCGTGTTGGATCCCTGCGCTGCCCTCATGGTGGCTCTGGTCTCTGCACTGCTGTCCGCTGGGATCAAAGAGTTGCGTGGTTGAGCTGACTTCTGAGTCGACTCGTGAGTTGACGTTTGAGTTTTTAGTTGACTTAAAAGGAGGATGGTGGTGATGATGTAGCTTGGAAGCACAGGCGGTGTTTGAGAATTCTTATAAACCTTCCAGCCTTGCGCTTGCACTCGCACTTGCACTCGCACTTGCACTTGCACATCACTCTTGAAGCATTCGAGATTCCACACTGCAACCCCAACCCAGCACCACATGTGCTGTTACAGTGATATGATTATATGGCAGGCAGCATTGTCTGTTGTCATCATCTATTGTCTCACTCTTTTTCGCTTCACTTCAATACCCCCCTGCTCCTTGCAGAGTGCCAATTTCCAGCTGGGGATGACTGTAGCGAACGTGATAATACTGGTGTTTGTGGCGGTGGCGGGGGCATGGATAGGATTTACCCACGGGTGGCCAGGGTACAAGGACTCACCAAGGTGGGTGACTATGGCGTGATATTGGTGTAACTCCTTGTGAACTAGGTGGTCGATGTTGTTTAGGTGACTTTTGAGGCGAAACCAGTGGTCTAAAAGCCTTAAAATGGATGGCCGGGGTACTGTACAGGGAGTTGCTTTTGAGAATTATAAAAAATAACTCCACTCGTACAGCGAGTTGTTAGGCGGGTCATCATCCTGGTGCCATGCCGATTGCATTGGTTTTGGCGCCTAAAAAATAGACTCCTCATGCATCGGTGGCTGGGGCATGGATGTGATTTTCCTTTCTTACGCGGTTACCGTTACGACGAGCCTGTGAAGGTGAACCAATGCAATCGGCACCATCCTACCCACTTCCGCTTTATTTGCCCGTGATTTTATTTTATTCTGGTTTCTCTTTCCAGCCGCTCCACCCACGTCTGTCCTCTCCTCTCCTACCTCCTCGCCACCCTTCCTTCCCCTACATCTCAAGCCTTCTCTCCCTATCTCCGGTGATTTTTGAGTCGACTCATAAGTCACCTCGTTACAATGTCACGCAACACATTCCATCTCAGGCATTCTCTCCCTATCTCCAGCCCATCCTCCCCCCCTCTGCTTCTGTCATCTCTCTCCTCTGTCTCCCCTCACCGTCTCCATCGGTGAAGTGATTATCAGGCGAGCCTGTGAGGGTCCCCTCTGCTCCTCCTTCTCTCCCCTCAGCCTCGGACAACTCTTCGGACACACTAAAGCCTCTCTCTCCTCTTCCAACCTCCTCGTCCCTGCCATGCCATCCCCCTCAGCTTTTTTTGAGGCGCCTCAAAAATCGTCTCTTCCATCCTCCTCGTCTCTTCCATCCTCCTCGTCTCTGCCATCCTCCTCGTCCCTGCCCTGCCATCCCCCTCAGCTACCTGCCGTTTGGCGTGTCTGGGTTGCTGGGAGGAGCTGCCATGGCTTTCTTCTCTTATATCGGATTTGACACTGTAGCGAGTACAGCTGAGGAGGTACGCTGCTGAAGTACTCGAAACGCATGCAAGCACTTGATTGATGGTCCTGGTGGAACGAAAGTGAGTACTTGTTTCTGTTAGAGAAAACGCCTACTCTTAGGTCAAACTTGGTGGTGGTGCGTGCAAGCACATATGTGCGTATGAGTAAGGTTAGATGCTGCCCCTAGAGCTTACATGTCTCTGACATGCTGTGGCGCGCTGTAGATGGTGCTAGCAAGAATTTACTCCCCTATCCTACCCTCTCGAACGGTCCTTTGTTGCTGGGAAATCCTGGGTACAGGCTAGGCATGCAGGATAAGTACAATACAAACAGGCACATCAGCTCAGGTAAGTCTTTCATCCTATCCTGCCCTCTCTTCCTCCTCCCTGGCAGGTGAAGCACCCTCAGCGCGACCTGCCTTTAAGCATAGAGCTATCGCTGACATGCTGTGGTGCGCTGCACAGGTGCTGGCAACACTCCTCTTCAACCCCCCCTCCGCCCCCTTCCTTCCACTCCTTTTCCCTGGCAGGTGAAGCACCCTCAGCGCGACCTGCCTCTAGGGATTGGGTTGTCGCTGACATGCTGTGGCGCGCTATACATGGTGCTGGCGGCGGTGCTGGTGGGGTTGACTCCGTTTGACCGCATTGACCCCGATACCCCCATGGCCCAGGCGTTCCAGACGTACAACCTGCACTGGGCCAAGTGAGTGGTGGAGGGGGGGTGTTGGGGAGGAGGAGGTGAGGAGAGGAAGATGGAGGGAGGGGGGGGCACTGACTTATACCATGCCGCCCGTGGCCCAGGCCTGCCAGACATACCACTTGCACTGGGCCAAGTGAGTGAGGGAGGGGGGGAGAATGGAGGGGAAGGGGTGCTGGCAGTGGTTTTGGTGGGGCTGACTCCGTTTGACCGCATTGACCCCGACATCCCCATGGCCCAGGCGTTCCAGTTGTACCACCTAGGCTGGGCCAAGTGAGTGGGGGGAGGGGGGTGTCGGGGGGGACTGAGTGAGTGAGCCCACCCCATCCCACCCCCAATAGCCGTTCCTCATACCAACCCATGGCCCAGGCCTTCCAGACGTACGTACCACCTAGACTGGGCCAAGCCAAGTGAGTGAGGGAGGAGGTGTCGGGGGAGAGGAGGGGAGGGAAGAAGAGAATGAGGGGGAGGTGCAGTGCGTCATACTACCCCCATGGCACAGGCGTTCCAGTCGTACCACCTGCACTGGGCCAAGTGAGTGGGGGAGTGTGAGTGAGAGAGAGAGCGTGCGTCTCTGTGTGTGTGTGTGAGTGAGTGTTTGTGTGTGTCACCTCATAACATATCGCGTGCTTAAACCTGCTTGCAAGTGTACCAGTGAGCTACACGTGAGCCTTACATGCATAGTTCGGCCACAGATGTGTGCTTTTTATTGCTCGCTCGTGCTGCATTGCATGTGTGGGTGTATATCACATATGCTTGTATCTTGTGTGCTTTTATCGCAGGTACCTTGTCACAGGGGGGGCACTGGCAGCTCTGTCCACCACACTGCTCGGGTCACTGCTGCCTCAGGTGCCGATTATAGCTGATGCTCGTTAAGCACATGCTGGCAGGTGCCCCTGTTGTCTAAGTAAGCTTACCGACAACACCATGTGTCAGTAAGGTGCGTCACCTGGCAGGTGTCCCCTTGCACCACGTGGGCCCTTTGTTGTGTGGACTTAAACACTTCCTGCCACTAGTGACCTGTCCCATACTCATTCGTCCTGTGCGAGTGATTATGAGGCGGCCTACTCCCATCTCGGTTCGGCCACATGTGGCAACTGTTCCCCCAATTTCCTCCCCCCCCCTCTCTTTCCCTCACCTCCCTACTCACAGCTGCACTGGCCTACACTCGCAGTGATGTCACAGGGCGATTTTTTAGGCGCCTCAAAAGCATGTCACAGGACGGGCTGCTCCCGTGTTGGTTTGGCCGCATTGGTAAGGGAAACTCAAGAGCTTCTGAACGCGACAGCTGTCCTCCAACCCTCTCCTCCCCCCCCCTCCCCACACACCTCTCAGCCGCGCATTCTCATGGTGATGGCCCGGGACGGGCTACTCCCAGGGTGGTTTGGCCGCATCGACAAAGGGACGGGGGTGCCGCTGAACGCGACAGCTGTCACGGGGCTATTGGCTGCTGGCATGGCGTTCGTGCTGGACATAGGGCAGCTGTCAGGGATGGTGCGTAACCATAGTAGGGGGGCATGGGGGGAGAGAGAGAGGGGGCATGGGGGGAGAGAGAGAGGGGGCATGGGGGGAGAGAGAGAGGGGGCATGGGGGGAGAGAGAGAGGGGGCATGGGGGGAGAGAGAGAGGGGGCATGGGGGAGAGAGAGAGGGGGCATGGGGGGAGAGAGAGAGGGGGCATGGGGGAGAGAGAGAGGGGGCATGGGGGGAGAGAGAGAGGGGGCATGGGGGAGAGAGAGGGGGGGGAGGGGGGGGAGAGAGAGAGGGGCATGGGGGGAGAGAGAGAGGGGGCATGGGGGGAGAGAGAGAGGGGGCATGGGGGGAGAGAGAGAGGGGGCATGGGGGGAGAGAGAGAGGGGGCATGGGGGGAGAGAGAGAGGGGGCATGGGGGGAGAGAGAGAGGGGGCATGGGGGGAGAGAGAGAGGGGGCATGGGGGGAGAGAGAGAGGGGCATGGGGGGAGAGAGAGAGGGGGCATGGGGGAGAGAGAGAGGGGGCATGGGGGGAGAGAGAGAGGGGGCATGGGGGGAGAGAGAGAGGGGCATGGGGGAGAGAGAGAGGGGGCATGGGGGGAGAGAGAGAGGGGGCATGGGGGAGAGAGAGAGGGGGCATGGGGGGAGAGGAGAGAGGGGGCATGGGGGGAGAGAGAGGGGGCATGGGGGAGAGAGAGAGGGGGCATGGGGGAGAGAGAGAGGGGGCATGGGGGAGAGAGAGAGGGGGCATGGGGGGAGAGAGAGAGGGGCATGGGGGGAGAGAGAGAGGGGGCATGGGGGGAGAGAGAGAGGGGCATGGGGGAGAGAGAGAGGGGGCATGGGGGAGAGAGAGAGGGGCATGGGGGAGAGAGAGAGGGGCATGGGGGGGGAGAGAGAGGGGGCATGGGGGGAGAGAGAGAGGGGCATGGGGGGAGAGAGAGGGGGCATGGGGGGAGAGAGAGGGGGGCATGGGGGGAGAGAGAGAGGGGGCATGGGGGGAGAGAGAGAGGGGCATGGGGGGAGAGAGAGAGGGGACATGGGGGGAGAGAGAGAGGGGGCATGGGGGGAGAGAGAGAGAGGGGAAGGTGATCACTCTTTAGGGCTATTGGCTGCCACGATGGCTTTCGTGCTGGACATAGGGCAGCTGTCAGGGATGGTCAGTTAGAACGCAGAGGGACGTGGTGGGTAGCTGGTAGGTAGGAGCATTGGGAAGGGCGTGTGGGGGGGGGAGAGTGGAAGATGTGCACTCTTTAGGGCTATTGGCTGCTGGCATGGCGTTCGTGCTGGACATAGGGCAGCTGCCAGGGACGTTGAGTTTGGTGGGCATTTGTAGGTTCTAGACATTCGGGGGAGTGAGAGATTGCAGTTGAAGCCAGTCAGGTACCGGCCGCATGGCGTTTGTGCTGGACATAGGAGAGCTGTCAGGGATGCTGAGTTAGAGCGCAGAGGGTCGTGGAGGGTAGCTGATATAGGTAGGAGCATTGGGAAGGGCGTGGTTGTGAGAAGTATGCGCACTGTTTAAGGCTGTTGGCTGCCTGCATGGCGTTTGTGCTGGATGTTGGACAGCTGTCGGGGATGGTGAGTGGAAGGGTTATGGAGGGTACCTGGAAGGTACCTGGAAGGTAGGAGTATTGGGAAGGGCATGGTTGGATGCAGAATTTCCACTGTTTATGGCTATTGGCTGCTGGCGTGGCGTTCGTGCTGGATATAGGGCAGCTAGCCAGTACTCACTGTCAACAGCAGCCCTGATGATGGTGCGATGACTTCGAGTGTATGGGGTGCTTGTGCATGGTGGGTATGTGCATCGGGTGCATGGGCATGGCGGGCTTGTATAAGGCGAGTGTGTGCATGGTGTGCATGGTGTGCATGGTGTGCATGGTGTGCATGGTGTGCATGGTGTGCATGGTGTGCATGGTGTGCATGGTGTGCATGGTGTGCATGGTGTGCATGGTGTGCATGGTGGGTGAGAGTGAATGATGTGCATCTCTCCCCCTCCTGCCTATCCCCCCTCCCACCCTTCTTTCTCCTTGCATCCCCCATCAATGCATCAGGTCAGCGTGGGCACTCTCCTCGCCTTCACCACTGTCAGCCTCTCCGTCCTCATCCTTCGCTACACTCCCCCCTCCTCCCCTCCCACCCCTCTTCCCTCCTCACACCCCCCTTCACATCCCTCCTCATATCCCTCCTCACTCCCCTCCTCCTCCCACAACCACCCCCACTACCCCTCTTCTTCCTCCTCCCGTCCCTTCCCATCCTACCCTTTCTCCCCACCCTCCAAGCCTCAGTACATATCTTCCTCCCTCCCTACTGCAGCAGCAGCAGCAGCAGGGGCGGGAATCTTAGTCTCTTCCCCCCTCCCAATTGGCCAATCAAGCGTCTTTGCGCATCTGGGGTCCCCTGACAGCCTGGGCACATCTCCAGCCGTTGAGATCCGATCCAACGGCCAGCTGCACTCCGCACTCGCTCACACTCCCAACTCGTTCCAAGCACCACTACTGGCTCGTCTACTTGAAGAGATGGGGGAAGAGGGGAGGGAGGAGGAGGTGGAGGAGGAGGAGCGGGAGGAGGAGAGGGAGGAGGAAGAGGAAGGGGAAGAGGAGATGGGGGAGGAGGGCAAGGAGGGTCGGCAAGAGGAGGAATCCGCCTTGCTGGTAGCCCAACAGCAGCAGCAGCAGCAGCAGCAGCAGCAGAAGCATTGTACTGGGCTTGGGCAAAGCTTTGCAAGGGGTGATGCCAGCGCTACCAGCAGCACCACCCATGGGCTACGCACTGGTGGTGAGGGCCTGGCCCATCAGGCAGCAGGCCTCACTGTAATCACACCGTGTACAGTCACCGCTACATCCGCTGCTATACCTGCTACAGCTGCTACAGCTCCTGCTACATCCCACAGGCGTCTGGCCTCTCGGGCCATCGTTGCTGTCTCCCTGGGCGCCCCACTCCTTGCCGCTGCCGCCGCTGCTGCCTCTGCTGGGCTTTCCTCCACACAGTGAGCCTGCTTCCTTTGAGTCGACTCAAAAGCACACAGTGAGCCTGCTTCCTTTGAGTCGACTCAAAAGCACACAGTGAGCCTGCTTCCTTTGAGTCGACTCAAAAGCACACAGTGAGCCTGCTTCCTTTGAGTCGACTCAAAAGCACACAGTGAGCCTGCTTCCTTTGAGTCGACTCAAAAGCACACACTGGGCCTGCTTCCTTTGAGTCGACTCAAAAGCACACAGTGAGCCTGCTTCCTTTGAGTCGACTCAAAAGCACACAGTGAGCCTGCTTCCGTTGGACAGTGAGCCTGCTTCCCCCATGTTACCCATGCCGCCCCACCAATGTCCCTTGTGCCTCCATGTTACCCATGCCGCCCCACCAATGTCCCTTGTGCCTCCATGTTACCCATGCCGCCCCACCAATGTCCCTTGTGCCTCCATGTTACCCATGCCGCCCCACCAATGTCCCTTGTGCCTCCATGTTACCCATGCCGCCCCACCAATGTCCCTTGTGCCTCCATGTTGTCACCCTGTTACCCTTCCATCTACCCGGCCCTTGTGCTGTCCACTGTTCCCTCAGGCGGTATCCCTGCACCCTAAAGCCCCTTTTTGCTCGTAGCCCCTCCCATGCCCCATCCCCGCCCATTCTCACTTCCTCCCCGTCCATCCAGCTGGCTGCCTCTCCTCCTGTTCGCTCTGGGCGGCGCACTGTTTCTCGGTGGGGCGGCAACTCTTGGATTTATCAACGAGGACGAAGGAAGGCACCAGTTTGGATCAGCAGGAGGTGAGAGCACAAGTGTTTGTCCCGTCAGCAGTAGGTGAGAGCACAAGTGGTTGTCGCATCAGCAGGCGGTGAGAGCACAAGTGGTTGTCGCTTAGCCATTGTGGCTGAGAAGCGAGGGAACAACCTGTGTATGGAGGTTGCGGTTGTTGCAATACAAAGGTGAGTGCGAGCACACAGGAACAACCGCAACCTGGTTCACTGGCAATACCCTTATAAGAATATTATTGAGTCGACTCATAAATAGACTCATTACACATGCAACCTGGTTCACTGGCAATACACTAATAAGAAAACAGCCGAGGGCAAGAAATATTGGGGAGTGTTGGGAGGCGAGGTAACACAAGGTCGTGACGATGCATCGTCAGCCACACCACGTCGGCCTCTCAAGAGCTGTCTCTTGTACATGTATTTTGAGAATTCCACGTATTTTGAGAATTCCCAGAGTATGCCTTTCCTCATCTCTCTCGCTTGTAGCTAAATTACCTTGCGCTTGACAGTGGAGCTATCAGTGAGTTCTCCTTTCCTCGCAGAGAATTCGTCTCCTTTCTTCCATCGTTCCACCTCTCCACTGTCCATCTGTGCCCCCTCTCAAGAGTTGTCTCTCCTTGTATTTGTCCTTAGAGAATTCGTCTCCTTTCTTCCATCGTTCCACCTCTCCACTGTCCATCTGTGCCCCTTGGTATCGGCTCCTTAAATGCCTTTTCCTGTCCTTTCCTCCCTCCTCCCCTCGCCCTGGCCCTCCCTCCGATCAGGATTTCACTGCCCCTTGGTGCCGTGGCTTCCCCTCGCCAGCATCCTCATCAACGTGTATCTCATGGCGAACCTGGGGTGAGCAGTCAAACAGAGTCAGTCAGAGTCAACTAGAGTCAACCAGAGTCAATGCCAGTGCTTCGATGCCCCTTGTGACTTCCCCTCGTCAGCATCCTCATCAACGTGCATCTCATGGCCAACCTGAGGTGGGCAGTCAAGGAAGTAAAACAGAGTCAACAAGAGCCAACCAGAGCCACCCTCTTCCCATGGCTCCCATGCCCCTGGCCCGGCTTGACCTGCCACCCTCTTCCCATGGCTCCCATGCCCCTGGCCCGGCTTGACCTGCCGCCCTCTTCCCATGGCTCCCATGCCCCTGGCCCGGCTTGACCTGCCACCCTCTTCCCATGGCTCCCATGCCCCTGGCCCGGCTTGACCTGCCACCCTCTTCCCATGGCTCCCATGCCCCTGGCCCGGCTTGACCTGCCACCCTCTTCCCATGGCTCCCATGCCCCTGGCCCGGCTTGACCTGCCGCCCTCTTCCCATGGCTCCCATGCCCCTGGCCCGGCTTGACCTGCCACCCTCTTCCCATGGCTCCCATGCCCCTGGCCCGGCTTGATCTGCCACCCTCGTCCCAGGGCTTGTGCTTGGCGCTGGGATCATGTCCCACTCTTCCCATGGCTCTTGAGTCGACTCAAAAGGTGATTCTTGAGTCGACTGAAAAGGTGATTCTTGAGTCGACTCAAAAGGTGATTCTTGAGTCGACTCAAAAGGTGATTCTTGAGTCGACTGAAAAGGTGATTCTTGAGTCGACTCAAAAGGTGATTCTTGAGTCGACTCAAAAGGTGATTCTTGAGTCGACTCAAAAGGTGATTCTTGAGTCGACTCAAAAGGTGATTCTTGAGTCGACTCAAAAGGTGATTCTTGAGTCGACTCAAAAGGTGATTTTTGAGTCCACTCAGAAGGTAATTTTTTAGTCGACTCAAAACTCTTCCCATGGCTTTCGATTGGCGCTGGGATCATGTCGCACTCTTCCCATGGCGCTCGTGCCCTGGCCGATCTTCACCTGTCCTCCCCCTCCTCTCATTCCCCAGTGCCTCACTCTCTTCCCCTGCACCCGCTCCACCACGTGGCTCTACTCCTCCTCCTGGCTCGTCATACGAGCAGTCAGACCAGACCTTGAAGTATCCCCCCTCCCATCCCCTGCTCTCTCTGCCCCCTCCAGCGCCACCACGTGGCTCTACTCCTCCTCATGGCTCGCCATAGGCGCCGTCATCTACCTCGTCTACGGCATTCACCACAGCGCCCTAGGCCGGGCGCATGCCCCGGGCCCTCGCGTTCTGGACGCGTCCAAGAGGACTGCCAGCTGGTGGAATCTGGGCACTCCGTTTGAGGAGTGGGTGGTGAAGCAGACGCACAGACAGACGCAGAGACAGGCAGATACACAGGCGAGGCAGCTACGGGAGCAAGGCATTTGAGCGAGCAGACAGGACAGGCAGACAGACGCAGAGACAGGCAGATACACAGGCGAGGCAGCTATGGGAGCAAGGCGTGTGATGTGATGTGAGCAGGCAGAACTGCTAGCTGGTAGCACCTTGGGAAGCCGTATGAGGAGTGGGTGGGGAGAGGCAGGCCCACAGACAGACACTGCTGACGCAAGGCCAAGGCGTGTGGTGTAGGCCAGTCGAGCAAACTCGTCTCAATCAGTAGTTTGGCATGGCTGCATTTTTGTAAATATTGCTACGCTATGGCATGCTTGTACCGCACACAGGATGTAAAGTTGACCTTCGACCTACCGGTTCTCACTGATGGCCGTTGCTATTACTCCAGGATCCAGATTCCAGATTTCTGCGGCTTTAGCTTATGTAGTACACGTGTGCCACTGATGCATATAAATAGTCCTATGGGCCTGTACAGGAACATAGCACCAAAGCTACACTCATCTAGCCTCGCCATTACATATAGGGCAAATGACTAGTCCATTCTCGTTACACACATCACACTCGACAAACTGACCCCCACCACCACTACTGGTAACACCTCCTCCAGTTGCTACCTTCCTGCTCCCATGGCAATGGTAACACGGGACAAACCTCACATCCCAACAACTCCTACAGACACCAGCAGCAGCAGCACCACCACCGCTACCAGCAGTAGCAGCAGCAGAAGCCAAGCTACCACTACCGGACAAGCCCCGCCGCCCGCTGGCTGCTACAGCCGTGCCGCCCCCAGCAGCCTTGAGCCAGACCACCAGGGCGTCCAGGGCCCCCTCCTCGTACAGCTGTAGCACGTCCTCTGCGCCGCCCACGTGGCGCCCGCGCACGAATAGCTGCGGGACACGTGGCATGTCCCCCGCGAATAGGAGCAATAGCTCGTCCTGGTAGGCTGGGTGGAGTGCCACGTCACGCTCTTGAAATCGCAGATGGAGGCTCTGATTGGTGGGGGGGGTGGGACGGGGGGGGGGGAAGGCAGGGGGAAAAGGTGGGGATTGGGTGACGGAGGGTGCATGTCAGTGGAACAGGAGCAGCAGCTCGTCCTGGTAGGCTGGGTGCAGCGCCACGGCACGCTCTTGGAATCCCGGATGGGGGCTGTGATTAGGGCCCCAGAGAACAACTCTTACCTTGAGTGATTTTTGAGTCGACTGGAAACTCACATATGAAGCGCCACGGCACGCTCTTGGAATCGCGGATGGAGGCTGTGCTTAAAACCCGACAGCAAAATAGCAGAGGGGTTATCAAGTTGGGACCCCTCTTGATCAGCACCCCTTGTGTGTCGAGGTGCCTTTTTTTACTCGGGGCTGGGCAGCAGCCCGCACTGTTCGATACTCAGAACAAACCCAGGTGGCATATTTGACGCGACACTGTACCGTGTGAATTTCGTTTCGCGTCGCGCGTTGTGGGCTGCACGACGTGGCACGCGATTTTGCCATGTCAAAACGGGCCCCACTTGGTCATCAAATGGGGCCCCACTTGATTTTCGCCCAGGGAACGTACGAAAAACAGGAATAGCAGAGGGGGGTCCCTCTTGAACCCCCCTGCAGAAGCCGAGGCCCAAGAAGCCTGCGACAAATGTCGCAGGGGAGCTGCATGACGCGCCACGCTGTCCATATTTTTTCGCCTCGAGCCTGCATTGGCTAGTACTCTTGGGCAACCAATAGGATTTGTGAAATCCTCTTTTGTTTCCCGAGAGTTACAAATTTCGGGGCACTGGGACGTTTCGTTTTTTCGCCAGGTTTCGGGACTTAGTTTTTTTGTACCCACTCAACTATCAAGAGAGACCCCCCTCTGCTATTTTGCCGTCGGGTTTTAAGGCCCCAGACAACAACTCTTACCTTGAGTAGAGCCCTCATCTTCACACAATCGGCGTGCGTTCTTCTAACCGCCTCCAGCGACGTCACATACACCACCACCAGATCCTCACCCCCTGGCGGGCAGATCACTTCAAATCGACTCAGCTCGCTCTCCAAGCACTCCGCTGCTATCCCCGCCACCGCTGCTAACGACCGCTCCGCTGCTAGCGAGGCTGCTTGTATCGAGTCATCTGAGTCTTGGCCCGCTGATTCATCTCTCTGCAGTGTCCCATAGGCCGCGCTCTTATGCATGTTGAGCGGTGCGTTGAGAGGTGCATTCCACAGCTCATTCTGAGGCTCGTTTGGAGGCTCGTTTGAAGGCTCGTTTGGATGCTCGGTTAGAGGCTCGTTTTGAGGCACGTCAAACGGTGCGCCCTTGCTGTCCCTGCGCTCCTCCCCTTGCTCCTGCCCACGAAGACTTGCTCCGCTGTCACCAGCACCAGCAGCACCACCACCATTGCGACCATCACCATCAGCATCAGCATCAGCATCGCCATCGCCATCATCGACACACAGCTGCAGCAGCTCCTCCAACGCCTCCATATCCACCCCATCATCATCATCGCCCTCATGGTAGCCATGCCTCTTATCCCTCTCATCCTCGCTATAGTGCTGCCTCTCATCCTCACTATAGTGCTGCAAGGGATGCTCCAAGTGCATCGCCTGCCCATGTTGCCCATCCTCCTTACCACCCTCCAAGGCGCTATCACTCTCCTTACTGTCACACTCCACCTCGTCACACTGCAGAGCATCTCTTTGCAAGCTTGTCCTTTCTTCTAAATCACCCTGGTCAGCTCGTGAAGGATCAGGATGGGGGTGAGTTGAATTGCTCCACGTTGACAAGCTCCTCTGCTCCAAGTACTGCCCTTCCACTTGAGTTGGCTTTTGAGAAATCTCAACGACCAACCGTTCCTCAGATTTATCCACTATCGCTGCTTCTCCCTCTTCCCCTCCTATTCCTCTGTCTACTGCTCCTGCTCCTCCTCCCCCTAGCGCTGTCCTTGTTCTGCCCCCTTCCATTTCCGCCAACACCTCTCCACTCTCCTCCCCTGCTCTTTCCACCTCCCTCCTTCCCCTTTCCCCCTCTCCTCCCAACGCCTGGCCCCACCCCTCCCCCTCGCCCAGCACCACCTCTCCTGCTCCCCCTTCTTCCCCTCCCTCTCGCCCCTCCTCTTCTCCTTCTAACTCCTCCTCTCCATCATCCCCCTCCCCTAGCCCCGCTAGCAGATTATCCATATCGATCCCCCCCTCCTCCGCATCCCCCTCCTCCTCATCCCCCTCCTCCTCCTCCTCCCCCTCCCCCCCGTCTAGTACCCCTTCCAAGTCAATCACCTTGTCATCCTCGTTATATTCACCTGCGACATAATCACCTTTCGCTCTCCCCTCTCCCCCGCTCCCCTCTCCTCCCCTCTCTTCCAATCCCCCACCTTCCGCCCACTCCTCTGCTCTTACCCTAAAGGAGGGTAACCCTAGCAACCCCCCCATACCCGGGGCAACGTCCCTTAGCTGTGGCTGCTGCAGCAGCAGCGCGGCAGGGTCGGGGGTGTGTTCCTCTGCCTTCATACGCGCTATAGCCTCCTCCACGGGGTCGTCTAGAAGCACCATGGGGAGGGAGAAGGGGAGAGGCGGTGGATTCGAAGGCGAAACAGTGGCGGTGTTACTGGGTCCGCTAGGTGCTGCTGCTGTGGCTGCTGCTACTGCTGGTGGCCCTGCTGGTGCTGCTGCTGGTGTTGGTGGGACTGCTGGTGCTCCTGCGGCTGCTGCTGCGGCTGCTGCATCAGCCGTCGCTAGTGCTCCTAATGCCTGCTGCTCCTTGCCCTGCTGTTGCGACGGCACCGCTGCTCCGGTATTAGCAGCTCCGTTTTTAGTCGCTCCATTATTGGTCGCAGATTCAGGCCCCAGTCGTGCTGTACGCGATATGCAGCACCCCATGGCTGCTTATTGAAAAAACACCGACAGCTGCACCAGCTCAAGCTGTCTCTTGCTGGACTGGACGCGGCTAAAGTACCACCTTGGTTAATCGTTTCTAGACGAGAACCGAGTTGCACGCCAGCGGAAGGACCCCAACCACGAGGGGTGGGTTCTTGATAACTATTTTTGAGGCGCCTCGAAAGCAGAACCTACCGCACAAGGTTGTGCAGAACCTACCTATATAACGAGCATTAAAGCCGTCGCAAAAAACTCTTTATATACAGATGAAGCTCAAGGATGTACAGTACAGTGTGTAATGAGTCTGTTTTTGAGCCGACTAAAAAATAGACTGATTACACTCAAGAATGAAACAGTTCAGTACGAGAAGGTTCTTGAGGCGCCGCAAGAATCATCGTTTGAGGCGCCTATAAAACGGCTGAAGCTCAAAGGATGTACAGTACGAGAAGGCTCCAGCGAAAAGGCTACTGAGAGTACAGCTCGGCGGACGACAAGCGAGGGGTTCTAGATGAGTACAGCTCGGCGGAAGATAAAACGAAGATGCTTGGAATCTCAAGATTCTCACGCGTTTTGTCAGGCCGAGGATCTTGCGAATCAAATCCAATCATATCAGATCCGGCAGTAGCAGTCCAGAGGTCTCTTGGTGTTAGTTCATTAGTCCGGCGGTTGAAGAAGTAAGTGCGACTATTAGTATCGGTCTAGTCGTCTCGTGTTTATTTAGTTGAATTGGTTTTTGCCTGAAAAGCCTAACACAGTCTACAATTGGTCTAGTCGTCTCGTGCTTTTTGAGTCTTGACGTCGCGAGCTCGCTTAGATTCGGCTGACGCCGCGGCTGGATTGACATGGAAACGCGGGAAGACTCGGAGACTAAAGAGCGGATCACGTGGAAACCGGACGACGGCCTTCAACAAGGCCTAAGCCTAAGTTTCCAGTGCATGCATGGGGGACCAGGGCACACAGGGTAATTAGCGAGAGCCCTGATGGGGACCCCGTTCTTCGAAAGTCAGGTCGTAAATTACGTGCGTTTCCTAGGGCTTTGAATTACCGAGGCAAGAAGCAAAGAAAGATCTGCCAGACTGACAAACGGTAAGTTTGACAGACGCGACGCGGCTGGATGGGTCAGATAAGCCTGCCTGACCTTTCCTGGTCAAGAAATACGCGGTATGAGGCGCTTCTGATTAGTAACCGAATACAGTAGGCGACATCGCTGACAATCAGCAGCCGGATTCTCATAAGCTCGTTGCTTGCAAGTTACAAAATCTAGTATATGTAATGTAGTGCTAACACGACAACTATGCACCAATCCAAGTATCTCGTTCTACGGTATAACCATTTCCGCTGGTTGGCAATCACCACCACTCGGCTGCTCTTGAGAGCCTTGTTTCCCTTGCAGCTCAGGCCTTCCTCGACTGGCTCGCTCTCTCCGCCTCTTCCTTTTCTCACCATTCACCACCTCACTCCACTCATCCCCCCTCCCCTCCGCCAGTTTCCCACTCCCCTTCTCCACAGTCTTAGGTGGTTTCAATCTGGCAACCTTCACCCCGGCCAGCCCTCTCCTTGCTGTCTCCCACGCTGCTGCTGACACCGGCCCCCCCTCCTTCTCCTGCATTTGTTCCCTCTCACTGTTGCTGCTGCTACAGCCGTCACTGCTACTGCCACCACTGGTACTGCCGCTGCCACTGTTCCTGCCGTCCTCACTGGTGTCACCGGCCGGCACGCCAACGATTACACCCAACCCAAGGCACACATCGCCATCATAGAAGGCGGCAAACTGGCCGGCAGCCAGGCCCTGGTCGTCCCGGGACAGAGTCACCAGCACAGCTGGCTCCCCTCCTGCTGGCCCTGCCACTGATCCCGCTGCTGCTGCTGGCTGTCCTGCTGATCCAGCTACTGCTGCCGTTGCCAATGCTGACCCTCCTGCTGCTGCTGCTGCTGCTTCGGCGGCTGCCGGTTCCGAGTAGTTTCCTGCGTGCACTGCTGGGCTTCGTGCTGGTTGTGCTGCATCGAGCTTCGAGTAATTTCCTGCCCCATCGACTTCCTGAGGCGGACGGTCAGTGCCTGCTGGCAGAAGGTTCATTGCATCTGGACGCATGGACGCTGGCGGATCACCAAACTGCACGGAGCAGGAGTAGAAATGGGGCCCGTGGCGGACCTGCAGAGAGGCAGAGAAGAGGGGGAAGAGAGGGAGGAAGGGGGATGGAGTGGTCGGTGTGTATGCGAGTGGGCATGCATTGGCGCACAAACTGCAGCGTGTTTTTGAGGGGATTTCAAAAAACGCTCTGCAAAATCAGGGGGAAGGAGGAAAAGCGAGGACTGGTTAGGTCAGCGAGTATGCGAGTGGAGATGCATTGAAGCAAACACAAACTGCATGGAGCGACCGTAGGAATGGGGACCGTGATGCACCTATGGGAAGTGAGGGAGAGAGTGGGGGGCGAGAGGGGGAGAGGAGGAGAGTGGGGGAGAGTGGGGGAGAGTGGGGGAGAGTGGGGGAGAGTGGGGGAGAGTGGGGGAGAGCGGGGGAGAGTGGGGGAGAGTGGGGGAGAGTGGGGGAGAGCGGGGGAGAGCGGGGGAGAGCGGGGGAGAGTGGGGGAGAGTGGGGGAGAGTGGGGGAGAGTGGGGGAGAGTGGGGGAGAGTGGGGGAGAGTGGGGAGAGTGGGGGAGAGTGGGGGAGAGTGGGGGAGAGCGGGGGAGAGCGGGGGAAGCGGGGGAGAGTGGGGGAGAGTGGGGGAGAGCGGGGGAGAGTGGGGGAGAGTGGGGGAGAGCGGGGGAGAGCGGGGGAGAGCGGGGAGAGCGGGGGAGAGTGGGGGAGAGTGGGGGAGAGTGGGGGAGAGTGGGGGAGAGTGGGGGAGAGTGGGGGAGAGTGGGGGAGAGTGGGGGAGAGTGGGGGAGAGCGGGGGAGAGCGGGGGAGAGCGGGGAGAGCGGGGGAGAGCGGGGGAGAGCGGGGGAGAGCGGGGGAGAGCGGGGGAGAGCGGGGGAGAGCGGGGGAGAGCGGGGAGAGCGGGGGAGAGCGGGGGAGAGTGGGGGAGAGTGGGGGAGAGTGGGGGGAGAGTGGGGGAGAGTGGGGGAGAGTGGGGAGAGCGGGGAGAGTGGGGGAGAGTGGTGGAGAGTGGGGGAGAGTGGGGGAGAGTGGGGGAGAGTGGGGGAGAGTGGGGAAAGGAAGTGTGAGGCCATGTGAGAGCAGGTGTGTGGATGAGCACCTTCACTACAGTCCAGCTGAGCCCGCCCACCCAAAGCTGCCGGCCGGCGAGACTTAGGCTGCTGCTGAGCGGTGGGTCCTTGCTTGCGCTTTGCACTTTTCTGAGCGTGCTGGCTCTCACCTTGCATGTCAGGTTGGGCCGTTCACTCAAGGGCGGATCGCACTCCCCACCAACGGTCCAGCTGAACCCGCCCACCCAGAACTGCCGGCGAGACTTGTTCGGCGAGTGGTAGTTGCGGGAGACAAACACGGTGTTGGTGGCTGTGTCCTTCGCTACAACATACCTGGAAGGGGGAGGGAGGGGGGGTGGGGGGGAGAGTCAGCAAGGAATATAGTGGGCAAACGAATGCTGCGAGATGAGGCGTGGCTGGCGAGTGGTAGTTGCACGAGACAAACACAGTGTTGGTCGCTGTGTCCTTCGCCGCCATGTACCTGAGGAGGAGGGGAGGGAGGGATGGCAGTGGGCAATCAGTGGGTGAGAAATGGAACTTGTTAGAAGAGGGGTAGTTGCGCGAGACAAATTCAGTGTTGGTGGCTGTGTCCTTTGCCAACCGCGAACCCCAAGAGGGGGCAACCAAGGCAGGGTGGCTTTGAGAATTCTAAAAAAGGCGGTGTCTTTTTTTGGCGCCTCGAAAAGAATTCCAAAAAAGGTGGTGTTGGTGGCCGTGTCTTTAGCAGCCTCGAATCCGAACAGAACAGTGGCGGCCAAGGCAGCGGCTCACCACTCTCTATGCTTGGGGCGTATGACCACTGGGCATTACTCTCCCCTCACTCACCACGGCCCCCCAGACAGCTTGATCCCCTGCCGCTGCCCGATGGTGAAGAGCCGGAAGCCTCTATGGGCCCCTAGGGCCTCATTGACGTGTATACGTATACATGTTTAGGGCATGCCAGTATTCCTAGCCCTCTTAGTACTCACCACGGCCCGCCAGACAGCTTGATCCCCTGCCGCTGCCCAATGGTGAAGAGCCAGAAGCCCCTGTGCGTGCCCAGTGGCCTCCTGGTGTCTCTGCTTGTGCCAGTGCCCACCACTACCCACTCCCTCACTCACCACAGCCCTCCCAACAGCTTGATCCCCTGCCGCTGCCCTATTGTGAAGAACCAGAAGCTCCTGTGCGTGCCCAGGGCCTCACTGACGTGTATATGTATATGTGTATAGGGGTATTCCTAATTCTCTTAGTACTCACCACGGCCCACCAGACAGCTTGATGCCCTGGCGCTGCCCGATGGTGAAGATCCAGAAGCCCCTGTGGACGCCCGGCGGCTACAACTGGTGTCTCTGCTTGTGGCAGTGCCTACCACTTCCCATTGCTTCACTCACCACGGCCCGCCAGACAGCTTGATTCCCTGGCGCTGCCCGATGGAGAAGAACCAGAAGCCCCTGTGGATGCCCGGCAGCTGCAACTAGTGTATCTGCTTGCGGCAGTGCCTACCACTTCCCATTGCTTCACTCACCACGGCCCGCCAGACAGCTTGATGCCCTGGCGCTGCCCGATGGTGAAGAACCAGAAGCCTCTATGGGTGCCCAGGGCCTCGCCACTCTCTGCCTCCACCAGCAGCCCCTCCTGCTCGCCCACGTGGCGTGCGACAAACTCAGGGAACTTGACCTGGGAGCTCGGATACAAGGGATAAAGGGTGGACGTCAGGTAGCCTCATAAAGGCCAAACGCATTTTCCGCCTCCACCAGCAGCCCCTCCTGCTCGCCCACATGCCGCGCCACGAACTCTGGGAACTTGACCTGGTGTGATGTGGTGCCAGGGGTAACGGGTATGAGGGGGTCAATCCGGGGGCCACGCCTCCCCACTCTCCCCCTCCACCAGCAGCCCCTCCTGCTCGACCACGTGGCGCGCCACAAACTCTGGGAATTTCACCTGGTGACACAGGTTCGAGGGATATGGGGGGCATGGGTGTTGATCAAGTGATGCCAAGAGGATGCCTCTTCACTCCCTCAGCCTCCACCAGCAGCCCCTCCTGCTCGCCCACGTGGCGTGCCACAAACTCTGAGAACTTGACCTGATGTCAGGTGAGGGGTTTAACGGGTTATGGGACGAAGAATATGGAGGTCATTGAAGGCGTCTCCCCACTCTCCCCCTCCACCAGCAGCCCCTCCTGCTCGCCCACGTGGGGTGCCTTGAGCTCAGGGAATTCGTCCTGGTAGCAAGTGAGGGGGTAAGGGTTTAAGGGGTACGGAATGAGGGGTCAGGGGGTCATCTGAGCGCCTCCCCACTCCCTCCGCCTCCACCAGCAGCCCCTCCTGCTCGCCCACGTGGCGCGCTGCAAATTCAGGAGAATTGACCTGGCAAAACGGAGAACGTGCCATCGGGCGTCCTTTCCGTTGTCTCCCCTGAAGGAATTAGCTTAGAGGAGAAAGGATTGTTTGAGTAGGGAGCCAAGAGGCTCTATTGTACAAACAAGGAGCAAGGAAGAGATGGAAGGGAAGGTCTCCCATTGGCCATAATGTGGACCAATGGGAGAGGTAGCTTGGAGGACAAGCAACCACAAAGTGTGGTGCTCTCCGATTGACCACAATGTGGACCAATGGGAGAGGTTGCTTGGAAGGTAAGCAACCACAAAGTGTGGTGCTTGGTGATTGGTTGGGTCTTAGGACCAAGGACCATTTGGTTGGAATAGTGCCAACCAAATGTCTATGACCAAATCCAATCTTGACCTACCCAAATGTGGGGTTGGTCAACCCAACCAACACCCCCCCAATAAATATAATGACTACACCTCCTAATCTAGGCATGCATGTTGTATAGATATATATTTTACAACATCCCCACTCTTCCCCCACACCAGCTGGCAGCAGCCCCTCCTGCTCGCCCATGTGCCATGCCGCAAACTCTGGGAACTTCACCTGGTGTAAGGGGTTTATGACTCTTGTGCTGACCGGAAAATGATTCAAGGGAACTGGAAGAGGAAGATGAAACGGAGGCGTATAAGAGGAAGATGAGAGAGATGGTAAACGGAAGGTGGAGGGAGCAAGGGAAAGACAGGCAAAGGAGGCACAGGAGGAAGAGAAGGAACCAGCCCTGCACGGATCAGGTCATACCCCATTCATGCAGGGTGCTTTTAAGTTTTAAGAACTCTTAAAAACACCCTGCAGATTCAATAACATCCCATATTCTTACTGTTCCTAAATCGACGATCCTGTTTCGCACCTTCCCCAGAAGGCAGATCCCCCGGGGGTCCTTACTGCTCTGGTTGGTTGGATGAGGCTGCCAGCTGTCGCCACTGAACCCTTCCGCAGACCATACCTTCCCCAGATAGCACCTTCCCCCAAAAGGCTGGCTTGGCTGGTCGAATGTGGCTGGCAGCTGTCAACCGATGGGACCTTTCTAGACCATACCTACTCCTGGCCGTGCCTTCCCCGGTTACTACCTTCCCCAAGAAACAGATCCCCTAGGGGAGCCCTTTCTGCTCCTGTTGGCAGGTTCAACGAGGCTGCCAGCTGTCAATAGATCGTACCTTCCTAGACTACACCTTCCCCAGGCTGTATATTCCCCAGGCCGTACCTTCCCCAGAAAGCAGATCCCCTGGGAGTCCTTCCTGTTCTGGTTGGGCAGGTTGAATGAGGCTGCCAGCTGCCGCACCTGGGACTGTACGGGGGAGGGATGAGCAATGGGATGGGATGGTGGGATGGCAGGGTAGGGGACCCGGTGCGATCGAAGGGAAGGGGGGAAGCGGAGAAGAACGGGAGAAGGAAGCGTGGGGAAACGGAATAAATGGGAGCAAGGGGAAGAGGGCAGGAGAGGGAGGAGGTGAATGACTTGAAGGATGGGAGAGGCAGGAGGAGGGAAAGGAAGAGAAGCACACCTTGGCGAGGGAGCCCAGGGGGAACATGACTCGAAGTGAACCTTGAGTTGACTCAAGAGGCAAGCACACCTTGGTGAGGGCACCAAGAGGGGAGTTTACCTTGGCGAGGGCCCCCAGGGGGAACATGACTCGCGACAGCTGCTGCTGGGATAGGTGCGAGAGGAAGTAGGTCTGATCCTTCACCTGGAGTTGGAAAGGGGGAATAAGGGGAGTGGACACATTAAAACGAAATGAAACAGGGTGAGAGAGGAAGTAGGAAGGAGCAGACACAGGGTGGGTGGGCCAGGTGGTGGTCCGATCAACACTGACAAAGCTGATTCGTTCATACTAGATCAGGAGGGCTGGCAAGTGGGCGTTACTAGATCAACCCATTGCAGGAGTGTTACAGAGACGCACTGTGGGCATTGCTGCAAGGACAGTGCACACGTTAACGTGGGATGCGGACCTCACCTCGTCTGCTGACAGAACCAGTCGCACGGGAGCAGTCTGGCCAGGTTGGTGAGAGGGGTAGCCCACCAGATGGGCAAATATGATGGAAGCACGGACTCCGCAGCCCACCAGTGCCCCACCTACAAACAAACACCTGGAAGGAACGCTCACCTCACCTCGTCTGCTGACAAAACCAGTCGCACGGGAGCTGCCTGGCCGGGTTGGTCAGAGGTGTGAAGTGGTGGTGGTGAGCGGACAACCCGGGCGTAATGGCCAGATGCCACGCGGTCAAAGTGAGCAAAGTCAATGTGGTCGTAGAAGGCACCTGCAGGGGCGAGGAGGGTGACCCGTGAGTGAGGGTATGGGATGATGGGATTGTAGTGCCAGCACACGGATGCCCATGCCCTGCCAATGTATTTTGAGTCGACTCAAAATACACCGTGAGTGAGGGTATGGGATGATGGGATTCTAGTGCCAGCACACGGATGCCCATGCCCTGCAACTGAGCGCACCAGACTTGATGCGCGAGTTGCAGAGCATGTCAGCGTTGGGTGTGCGATGGCATGGCATGGCACGGGTTCAGAATGACACCATAAGATGACACCATAAAATGACACCATAAGATGACACCATAAGATGACATCATAAGATGACAACATAAGATGACACCATAAGATGACAACATAAGATGACATCATAAGATGACACCATAAGAGGACACCATAAGATGACACCATAAGATGACATCATAAGATGACACAACAAGATGACATCATAAGATGACACAACAAGATGACATCATAAGATGACACCACAAGATGACATCATAAGATGCAAGCACAAGGTGCGCTGCCAATGAGCATACCAAACTTGATGCGCGAGTTGCAGAGCATGTCAGCGTTGGGTGTGCGATGGCATGGCATGGCACGGGTTCAGAATGACACCATAAGATGACACCATAAGATGACACCATAAGATGACACCATAAGATGACACCATAAGATGACACCATAAGATGACATCATAAGATGACAACATAAGATGACATCATAAGATGACACCATAAGATGCCACCATAAGATGACACCATAAGATGACATCATAAGATGACATCATAAGATGACATCATAAGGTGACACCATAAGATGACACCATAAGATGACACCATAAGATGACACCATAAGCTGACACCATAAGATGACACCATAAGATGACACCATAAGATGACATCATAAGATGACATCATAAGATGACATCATAAGGTGACACCATCAGATGACACCATAAGATGACACCATAAGATGACACCATAAGATGACATCATACGATGACACCACAAGATGACATCATGAGATGACACCACAAGATGCCATCATAAGATGCAAGCACAAGGTGCGCTGCCATGGAGCGTACCAAACTTGATGCGCGAGTTGCAGAGCATGGCAGCGTTGGCTGTGCAATGGCATGGCATGGCACGGGTTCAGAATGACACCATAAGATGACACCATAAGATGACATCATAAGATGACAACATAAGATGACATCATAAGATGACACCATAAGATGACACCATAAGATGACACCATAAGATGACACCATAAGATGACATCATAGATGACATCATCAGATGACATCATAAGGTGACACCATAAGATGACACCATAAGATGACACCATAAGATGACACCATAAGATGACATCATAAGATGACACCACAAGATGACATCATAAGATCACACCACAAGATGACATCATAAGATGCAAGCACAAGGTGCGCTGCCATGGAGCGTACCAAACTTGATGCGCGAGTTGCAGAGCATGGCAGCGTTGGGTGTGCGATGGCATGGCATGGCACGGGTTCAGAATGACACCATAAGATGACACCATAAGATGACACCATAAGATGACACCATAAGATGACACCATAAGATGACATCATAAGATGACATCATAAGATGACACCATAAGATGACACCATAAGATGACACCATAAGATGACACCATAAGATGACATCATAAGATGACATCATCAGATGACATCATAAGGTGACACCATAAGATGACACCAGAAGCTGACACCATAAGATGACACCATAAGATGACACCATAAGATGACATCATAAGATGACATCATAAGATGACATCATAAGGTGACACCATCAGATGACACCATAAGATGACACCATAAGATGACACCATAAAATGACATCATAAGATGACACCACAAGATGACATCATGAGATGACACCACAAGATGACATCATAAGATGCAAGCACAAGGTGCGCTGCCATGGAGCGTACCAAACTTGATGCGCGAGTTGCAGAGCATGGCAGCGTTGGGTGTGCGATGACATGGCATGGCACGGGTTCAGAATGACACCATAAGATGACACCATAAGGTGACACCATAAGATGACACCATAAGATGACACCATAAGATGACACCATAAGATGACACCATAAAATGACACCATAAGATAACACCAGAAGATGACAACATAAGGTGACATCATAAGATGACACCATACGATGACACCATAAGATGACACCATAAGATGACACCATCAGATGACACCATAAGATGACACCATAAGATGACACCATAAGATGACACCATAAGATGACACCATAAGATGACAACATAAGATGACATCATAAGATGACATCATAAGATGATACCATAAGATGACACCATAAGATGACACCGTAAGATGACACCATAAGATGACACCATAAGATGACACCACAAGATGACATCATAAGATGCAAGCACAAGGTGCGCTGCCAATGAGCGTACCAAACTTGATGATGCGCGAGTTGCAGAGCATGTCAGCGTTGGGTGTGCGATGGCATGGCATGGCACGGGTTCAGAATGACACCATAAGATGACACCATAAGATGACACCATAAGATGACACCATAAGATGACACCATAAGATGACACCATAAGATGACACCATAAGATGACACCATAAGATGACATCATAAGATGACAACATAAGATGACATCATAAGATGACACCATAAGATGTGGCCATAAGATGACACCATAAGATGACACCATAAGATGACAACATAAGATGACACCATAAGATGACATCATAAGATGACAACATAAGATGACATCATAAGATGACACCATAAGATGACACCATAAGATGACACCATAAGATGACACCATAAGACGACACCATAAGATGACACCATAAGATGTGGCCATAAGATGACACCATAAGATGACATCATAAGATGACATCATAAGATGACACCATCAGATGACACCATAAGATGACAACATAAGATGACATCATAAGATGACACCATAAGATGACACCATAAGATGACACCATAAGATGACACCATAAGATGACACCATAAGATGACACCATAAGATGACACCATAAGATGTGGCCATAAGATGACACCATAAGATGACATCATAAGATGACATCATAAGATTGCACCATCAGATGACACCATAAGATGACACCATAAGATGACACCGTAAGATGACACCATAAGATGACACCATAAGATGACATCATAAGATGACAACATAAGATGACATCATAAGATGACACCATAAGATGTGGCCATAAGATGACACCATAAGATGACACCATAAGATGACAACATAAGATGACACCATAAGATGACATCATAAGATGACAACATAAGATGACATCATAAGATGACACCATAAGATGACACCATAAGATGACACCATAAGATGACACCATAAGATGACACCATAAGATGACACCATAAGATGTGGCCATAAGATGACACCATAAGATGACATCATAAGATGACATCATAAGATGACACCATCAGATGACACCATAAGATGACAACATAAGATGACATCATAAGATGACACCATAAGATGACACCATAAGATGACACCATAAGATGACACCATAAGATGACACCATAAGATGACACCATAAGATGACACCATAAGATGTGGCCATAAGATGACACCATAAGATGACATCATAAGATGACATCATAAGATGACACCATCAGATGACACCATAAGATGACACCATAAGATGACACCATAAGATGACACCATAAGATGACACCATAAGATGACACCATAAGATGACACCATAAGATGACATCATAAGATGACAACATAAGATGACATCATAAGGTGACACCATAAGATGACACCATAAGATGACACCATAAGATGACAGCATAAGATGACACCATAAGATGACACCATAAGATGACACAATAAGACGACACCATAAGATGACATCATAAGATGACATCATAAGATGACATCATAAGGTGACACCATAAGATGACACCATAAGATGACACCATAAGATGACAACATAAGATGACATCATAAGATGACATCATAAGATGATACCATAAGATGACACCATAAGATGACACCGTAAGATGACACCATAAGATGACACCATAAGATGACACCACAAGATGACATCATAAGATGCAAGCACAAGGTGCGCTGCCAATGAGCGTACCAAACTTGATGATGCGCGAGTTGCAGAGCATGTCAGCGTTGGGTGTGCGATGGCATGGCATGGCACGGGTTCAGAATGACACCATAAGATGACACCATAAGATGACACCATAAGATGACACCATAAGATGAGACCATAAGATGACACCATAAGATGACACCATAAGATGACATCATAAGATGACAACATAAGATGACATCATAAGATGACACCATAAGATGACACCATAAGATGACACCATAAGATGACATCATAAGATGACATCATAAGATGACATCATAAGGTGACACCATCAGATGACACCATAAGATGACACCATAAGATGACACCATAAAATGACATCATAAGATGACACCACAAGATGACATCATGAGATGACACCACAAGATGACATCATAAGATGCAAGCACAAGGTGCGCTGCCATGGAGCCTACCAAACTTGATGCGCGAGTTGCAGAGCATGGCAGCGTTGGGTGTGCGATGGCATGGCATGGCACGGGTTCAGAATGACACCATAAGATGACACCATAAGATGACACCATAAGATGACACCATAAGATGACACCATAAGATGACATCATAAGATGACAACATAAGATGACATCATAAGATGACACCATAAGATGACACCATAAGATGACACCATAAGATGACACCATAAGATGACACCATAAGATGACACCATAAGATGACAACATAAGATGACAACATAAGATGACATCATAAGATGACACAATAAGATGACACCATAAGATGACACCATAAGATGACACCATAAGATGACACCATAAGATGACATCATACGATGACACCATAAGATGACACCATAAGATGACATCATAAGATGACAATATAAGATGACATCATAAGATGACAACATAAGATGACACCATAAGATGACAACATAAGATGACATCATAAGATGACACCATAAGATGACACCATAAGATGACAACATAAGATGACAACATAAGATGACACCATAAGATGACACAATAAGATGACACCATACGATGACACCATAAGATGACACCATAAGATGACATCATAAGATGACAACATAAGATGACATCATAAGATGACACCATAAGATGACACCATAAGATGACACCATAAGATGACACCATAAGATGACACCATAAGATGACATCATAAGATGACATCATAAGGTGACACCATAAGATGACACCATAAGATGACACCATAAGATGACACCATAAGATGACATCATAAGATGACACCACAAGATGACATCATAAGATGACACCACAAGATGACATCATAAGATGCAAGCACAAGGTGCGCTGCCATGGAGCCTACCAAACTTGATGCGCGAGTTGCAGAGCATGGCAGCGTTGGGTGTGCGATGGCATGGCATGGCACGGGTTCAGAATGACACCATAAGATGACACCATCAGATGACACCATAAGATGACACCATAAGATGACACCATAAGATGACATCATAAGATGACAACATAAGATGACATCATAAGATGACACCATAAGATGACACCATAAGATGACACCATAAGATGACACCATAAGATGACACCATAAGATGTGGCCATAAGATGACACCATAAGATGACATCATAAGATGACATCATAAGATGACACCATCAGATGACACCATAAGATGACACAATAAGATGACACCATAAGATGACACCATAAGATGACACCATAAGATGACACCATAAGATGACATCATAAGATGACAACATAAGATGACATCATAAGGTGACACCATAAGATGACACCATAAGATGACACCATAAGATGACACCATAAGATGACACCATAAGATGACACCATAAGATGACACAATAAGACGACACCATAAGATGACATCATAAGATGACATCATAAGATGACATCATAAGGTGACACCATAAGATGACACCATAAGATGACACCATAAGATGACAACATAAGATGACATCATAAGATGATACCATAAGATGACACCATAAGATGACACCATAAGATGACACCATCAGATGACACCACAAGATGACATCATAAGATGCAAGCACAAGGTGCGCTGCCAATGAGCGTACCAAACTTGATGATGCGCGAGTTGCAGAGCATGTCAGCGTTGGGTGTGCGATGGCATGGCATGGCACGGGTTCAGAATGACACCATAAGATGACACCATAAGATGACACCATAAGATGACACCATAAGATGACACCATAAGATGACACCATAAGATGACACCATAAGATGTGGCCATAAGATGACACCATAAGATGACATCATAAGATGACATCATAAGATGACACCATCAGATGACACCATAAGATGACACCATAAGATGACACCATAAGATGACACCATAAGATGACACCATAAGATGTGGCCATAAGATGACACCATAAGATGACATCATAAGATGACATCATAAGATGACACCATCAGATGACACCATAAGATGACACCATAAGATGACACCATAAGATGACACCATAAGATGACACCATAAGATGACACCATAAGATGACATCATAAGGTGACACCATAAGATGACACCATAAGATGACACCATAAGATGACATCATAAGATGACAACATAAGATGACACCATAAGATGACATCATAAGATGACAACATAAGATGACATCATAAGATGACACCATAAGATGACACCATAAGATGACACCATAAGATGTGGCCATAAGATGACACCATAAGATGACATCATAAGATGACATCATAAGATGACACCATCAGATGACACCATAAGATGACACCATAAGATGACACCATAAGATGACACCATAAGATGACACCATAAGATGACACCATAAGATGACATCATAAGATGACAACATAAGATGACATCATAAGGTGACACCATAAGATGACACCATAAGATGACACCATAAGATGACAGCATAAGATGACACCATAAGATGACACCATAAGATGACACAATAAGACGACACCATAAGATGATATCATAATATGACATCATAAGATGACATCATAAGGTGACACCATAAGATGACACCATAAGATGACACCATAAGATGACAACATAAGATGACATCATAAGATGACATCATAAGATGATACCATAAGATGACACCATAAGATGACACCGTAAGATGACACCATAAGATGACACCATAAGATGACACCACAAGATGACATCATAAGATGCAAGCACAAGGTGCGCTGCCAATGAGCGTACCAAACTTGATGATGCGCGAGTTGCAGAGCATGTCAGCGTTGGGTGTGCGATGGCATGGCATGGCACGGGTTCAGAATGACACCATAAGATGACACCATAAGATGACACCATAAGATGACACCATAAGATGACACCATAAGATGACACCATAAGATGACACCATAAGATGACACCATAAGATGACACCATAAGATGACATCATAAGATGACAACATAAGATGACATCATAAGATGACACCATAAGATGTGGCCATAAGATGACACCATAAGATGACACCATAAGATGACACCATAAGATGACACCATAAGATGTGGCCATAAGATGTGGCCATAAGATGACATCATAAGATGACATCATAAGATGACACCATAAGATGACACCATAAGATGACACCATAAGATGACACCATAAGATGACACCATAAGATGACACCATAAAATGACACCATAAGAGGGCACCATAAGATGACACCATAAGATGACACCATAAGATGACATCATAAGATGACAACAGAAGATGACATCATAAGATGACACCATAAGATGACACCATAAGATGACAACATAAGATGACATCATAAGATGACAACATAAGATGACATCATAAGATGACACCATAAGATGACACCATAAGATGACACCATAAGCTGACACCATAAGATGACACCATAAGATGACACCATAAGATGACACCATAAGATGACACCATAAGATGACGCCATAAGATGACATCATAAGATGACAACATAAGATGACATGATAAGATGACACCATAAGATGACACCATAAGATGACACCATAAGATGACACCATAAGATGACACCATAAGATGACATCATAAGGTGACATCATAAGATGACACCATAAGATGACACCATAAGATGACACCGTAAGATGACACCATAAGATGACACCATAAGATGACACCACAAGATGACATCATAAGATGCTAGCACAAGGTGCGCTGCCAATGAGCGTACCAAACTTGATGCGCGAGTTGCAGAGCATGTCAGCGTTGGGTGTGCGATGGCATGGCATGGCACGGGTTCAGAATGACACCATAAGGTGACACCATAAGATGACACCATAAGATGACACCATAAGATGACACCATAAGATGACATCATAAGGTGACATCATACGATGCAAGCACAAGGTGCGCTGCCAATGAGCGTACCAAACTTGATGCGCGAGTTGCAGAGCATGTCGGGGTTGGGCGTGCGGCCGTTGCGAATCTCAGCCACACAGTGCGACACCACGCGCTGCCAGTAGGCGTCGGTGAGATGCACTATGCGCAGAGGTACGCTGATCTGAAGGGAAGAGAGGGATAGACACACACACGTGATAGACACACACACGTGATAGACAGACACACGTGATAGACACGCACACGTGATAGACACACACACGTGATAGATAGACAAAACACATTGACTGCACAGTGTGTGTGTGTGTGTGTGTGTGTGTGTGCGCGCGTGCGTGCGTGCGTGTGTCTGTGTGTGTGTGTGCGTGCGTGCGTGCATGCGTGTGTGTGTGTGTGCGTGCGTGTGTGTGTGCGTGCGTGCGTGTGTGTGTGTGCGTGCGTGCATGCGTGTGAGTGTGCGTGCGTGCATGCGTGTGCGTGTGTGTGTATGGGATAGGGAGAGGGAGGAAGCGAGCCGTGCCTCGGCACAGACCGCATGAGCCATGGCTAAGTCATCGTCCCAGGGGCATTGAGACCAGAAGTTTTCAAAGTCCTCCTGCGACCAGATCCCTGTGTGTGTGTGTGTGGGTGTGTGTGCGTGTGTGGGGGGGGGGAGGGGGGGGGGTGGGGGGAGTTCCAGTGTGTACAAGGGGGAGGGAGAGGGAAGCTTACCTCGTCACAGACAGCCTGAGCCATGGCCAGGTCATCCTCCCAGGGGCATTGCGACCAGAAGTTTTCAAAGTCCTCCTGAAACCAGATTTTTAAGTAGAACGCCTCGCACTCATGCCCCGCCGCGTGCAGCAGCCTAAGCGCCACGCTGCTATCCACACCGCCGCTTAGCAGCACCGCCACCCGCAGCGGCCGCTGCTGCTGCTGCTGCTGAGAATTCCCACTGGCACTTAGTGGCTCGCAGCACGCCAGGACCCTTGGATCGTTCAGATCCAACGGCTGAGATTCCTCCTGAGGTTGCTGTGAGCGGTCGTCGTGGGACGACTGTGCAGAAAGTGTTAGGGTTGGAGGGGATAGGGTTTGTGCGGAGGAGGGGGAGAGGGGTCTAGGGTCCCCAGAGGAAGCTTCGTCAGAAAGTTCCTCCGCCGAAGAGTGCGCGCTACGAACGGCAGCAGCCTGGCTATCAGTAGAATCACGCCACGTGGCACTTGCACGTGGCCTTAGCTTGGATACCGCCCGATTCTGAGGATGAACGGCTGGATGTGACGAGAACTGGCAGCGGTCCAAGAGAGTCGTAAGAGGAGAAAAGACGCCTGGAGAGCGAAAGGAGGAAATGCTGTTGCTGGTAACCCCGCTCGCCATACTTCGCCAAGCATCGTCGCGAGCTCTGGTTCGAAACCTTGCCGGTGCCGCGGTTCCTAAAACGGTGCTACGCTCGCCAAGGGCATCTCTAATCGAAGGTGACAGTACAGGGAGTTCGGAACGTAGTGGCGGAAGTGATTGTATCGGTCGGGTTGAAGGTGTACAGAGCGACATGCTGGGAATGGAGGGATGAATGGAAGGTCGAACGATGGACATGCTCAGAATAGCCGCAGGAGAGGTATGCGAGAGCGCGAGGAGGAACGACGGGTCGATTGCTCGACGGATCGGCAGACGGACAAGTCTAGCTCGGAAGCGCATCGATCGTCGCGCAAGGTCGAGTCAGGCAAGGCATCACGTTGTCTGTGGTGTTACCTGCCAGCATGCTCAGGTGAAATTCTGCGCGTGCTAGCTTGCAGCAACTAATGTCCAAACAAATAATAGGAACCGCACTGCGCCATTATTGTTCGCTTCGTAAGTGTCCCATCCCATCTGACAAGACTTAGATGTGGTTACAAGCTCAAGGTTTCTGGAGCTGAACTCCCGCCAAAAGTTTGGCCCCGGATTGGCCCTCGAGAATGTCCGACCATTCAAAAGCTCCCACGTGAGGGTTTGCTCTGGTTACTCCCTCACGCGAGTCTCCTTCTGTTTCGTTAGATCGCCAAGTCGCCACAACGTCCGCGTTTCGCAATCTCGTTAGTTTCGCCACGCGTTCTGCTTCCACCTCCTCACTCACCTCTGCCTTCACCTCGACCTTTCCACCGAAGAGACCAACTTCAAGGTCACTTTTCGTTTCCCTCCAGTATTCAGTGCGGAGAAAATTCAGAGACTCTTTTCCAAGCTTGCGCTGAGGCTCGGATTCTGGCGTTTCTGCTGTTGCTCGGCGGATATTTCGTGCCAAAATCGACCTTTTCCACTGTAGCATGGCATTTCTTCTGTTGTAAATAGCACTCCTGTTAACGGGTTTTTTTTCTCCTCGTACTTTTTGCAAACAAGAATCAGTCTCGCCAAGATACATGGCGGATCCGAGAATTCGCAGGCAGACCTACACCGCCGCATCCCAGCCTTCCCGCGGTGCGCATCCGCGCGGATCAGTCCCCCCGCAGGCGCAGCGCGGGGTCGGATCATCCAGGGGGAGCGGAACCGGTCGCGCGACTGATGGCGGAAATGCGCGAGCGGGGGAAATGCAACCCGCGGAGACCGCGGAGCAGGTAGCGGAGCGGAAACTCCGCGAGCAGAGGGAGAAGGAGCGGGCGGAGGAGGAGGCGGAGCGGGATGCGCGGGAGCGGAAGGCGCAGGCGGCGGAGCGGCTCCAGCGCGAGCAGCAGGCGGTGGTGTCGCTGGAGCGATCGGTGCATGCTAAAGCACGCGACGTAGAGTCGCTTTCTGCCGAGGCCACGCGGATGGACGAGGAGGCTTCGGCTCTAAGGTGAGGCGTGAAATTCCAAGCCCCTGAATGACTGCGGCTGGAGCAGCAGGCGGTGGTGTCGCTGGAGCGATCAGATCGGTGCATGAGAAAGCACGCGATGTGGAGTTGCTGTCCGCCCAGGCCGGCCACGCGGATGGACGAGGAGGCTTCGGCTCTCAGGTGTGCTGTCGGGCGGCTTAACCCGATCAGTGCAGTGCAGTCGAAGGCAGTGCAGTGCATGCCAAGGCACATGATGTGGAGTCGCTGTCCGCCCAAGCCACGTGGCGCAGGCCACGTGGATGGAAGAGGAGCATTTGGCTCTGAGGCGAGGTTTGCGGAGGCTCAAGGCCCTTTTGAGTCGACTCAAAAGACAATGGGGTAAGGCTGCAGCGCGAGCAGCAGGCGGTGGTGTCACTGGAGGGATCGGTTGGTTCATGCCACGGCGCACTGTGTCGAGTCGCTGTGGATGCAGCCTCCTCTTCCATAGCCACGCGGTTGGACGAGGAAGCCTCAGCGCTAAGGTGAGGTCGGAAACGGCTCTTAAGACTGCGATGACTGCCGAGGCACGTGGCCTAGGCCCCGATGTATGTGGTGGAGGCTATGGCTTCAAGGTGTGGTCTCAAAAGCCCGCAACGTCCGCAGTGGGAGCAGCTGTGGTGCATGCAAAGGCACGTGGCCCACGTCACGTCGACTATGGACGAGGAGGCTATGGGTCCTAGGTGAGGTCTCAAAAGACTGCAACGGCTGCAGTGGGAGCGGCTATTAGTGCATGATTAGGCACGTGGCCCAGGCCACGGCGGATGAGGAGGCTATTGCTTTAAGGTGAGAAGTGAATGAAGCGGCGTAAAACACGGAGATAACGCCAGGAGTGTTTCATCGTCGCAACATCAAACATTATGGCTTCTGCAGCTGATATTGTAACCTTGTAACTCTGTAACACCCCCTGCAGGGCGAGGGCAGCAGTGCTTCACCAGCACTCGCTGCAAGTCAACGGCTTCCGAGCGTACCTGGAGGCTGGGAATCGCCGCCTGGACGAATGTAGGGCACACATCTCCCCTACCCTCGCTTCCTCAGCAGCAGCAACAAGGGGGAATGGAACCACAGCAGCAGCACCAGCAGTAGCCGACACTTCCTGCCCCACCGCTGCTGAAACCGACGAGGCTCTTTCCGTCCTCCAGAGGTTTCTGCAGGCGCGGCTGTGTGCTGCCATTCACTCGCCTGCAGGTGCTGCTCTCCAAACGAGTACACAGCAGCCAGGCATGCACACAGCTCGCAGTCACTCTGCTCCCCCTGTTGCTGCTGTCGCTGCTGCTGCTCCTGGTGCTGCTGCTGGTGATGGTGGCGGTGGTGCTGCTGCAGGTGGGAGGAGTGGCACAGGAGGAGTTGGAGGAGTGGAAGGAGGAGCAGGAGGAGGAGCAGCAGGAGCAGCAGCAGGAGGGGGTGGAGGGGAAGCAGGGAGCAGGAGCGGTCGAGCACCTGCCGCTTCTGCCAATTCCGCCCTGCTTTTCTCCTTCCCGGGAGGTTTCGCTGACCTGGCGCCCATTGATTGGAGCGAGCTGCCGGCAGCCGCAGGAAGCTTCCTGGAACGTGCGAGACTGCACCCGGGGGAGTTGGTGGGACTGCTGCAGGGTGCTGTGGAGCGGAAGGGAGAGGAGATCCGGAGGGAGGATACGAGCACAGATGTGGAGGAGGAAGGCCGACGACTGGGGTGAGTGGAAGTGGTTACTCTGTGCATGCACAAGGTATGGGGTGCGGGGCTGCTGCAGGGCGCTGTGGCGCGGAAGGCGGAGGAGATTCGGAGGGAGTATACCAGCACCGATGTGGAGGAGGAGGGAGCGAGATTAGGGTAAGTGGGGAAGGTAGGCATAAGGCACGACTAGATCGTTCTTGGGGTAGTTAGGACTGCTGGCACGGAAGGCGGAAGAGGTAAAAAGGGAGTTTACGAGCACAGATGTGGAGGAGGAAGGCACAAGACTAGGATGAGTGGGGAAGGTAGGCATGAGGCACGAATGGAAGGTTCTTGGGGTGGGTAAGGGCTGCTGCAGGGTGCCGTGGGGCGGAAGGGTGAGGAGATAAGACGCGATTGAACGAGTACTGGCGTGGGGGAGGAGGAGGGCGCGAGTTTAGGGCGAGTGCATTGGGGTTGAGGGGGGAGGGTAGGTACGTAGGATGCTGTGGCGCAAAAGTGTGAGGAGATTCGAAGGGAGTGCATGGGGATATGTAGAGGAGGGCGGCGCAAGACTGGGGCAAGTTGGGGGTTTGGGTTGCCAAGGGGGGTGAATGAAGTTGGAGTGGGGATTGGGATTGAGATGGATTACGACTGATTTAGACGGCTAGGATTCGCGGGGCAAAGGAATGGCATTGGGCAAAGGAATGGCATTGGGCAAAGGAATGGCATGGGGCAAAGGAATGGCATTGGGCACAGGAATGGCATTGGGCAAAGGAATGGCATTGGGCAAAGGAATGGCATTGGGCAAAGGAATGGCATTGGGCAAAGGAATGGCATTGGGCAAAGGAATGGCATGGGGCAAAGGAATGGCATTGGGCACAGGAATGGCATTGGGCAAAGGAATGGCATGGGGCAAAGGAATGGCATTGGGCAAAGGAATGGCATTGGGCAAAGGAATGGCATGGGGCAAAGGAATGGCATTGGGCAAAGGAATGGCATTGGGCAAAGGAATGGCATGGGGCAAAGGAATGGCATTGGGCAAAGGAATGGCATTGGGCAAAGGAATGGCATTGGGGCATGGCAAAGGAATGGCATGGGGCAAAGGAATGGCATGGGGCAAAGGAATGGCATGGGGCAAAGGAATGGCATGGGGCAAAGGAATGGCATTGGGCAAAGGAATGGCATGGGGCAAAGGAATGGCATTGGGCAAAGGAATGGCATTGGGCAAAGGAATGGCATTGGGCAAAGGAATGGCATTGGGCAAAGGAATGGCATGGGGCAAAGGAATGGCATTGGGCAAAGGAATGGCATGGGGCAAAGGAATGGCATTGGGCAAAGGAATGGCATGGGGCAAAGGAATGGCATGGGGCAAAGGAATGGCATGGGGCAAAGGAATGGCATTGGGCAAAGGAATGGCATGGGGCAAAGGAATGGCATTGGGCAAAGGAATGGCATGGGGCAAAGGAATGGCATGGGGCAAAGGAATGGCATGGGGCTGAACTGGGTGCAGAAGGAAGGAATGTCGCACAAGAATGTGACTTTCACAGGTGTCGATACATAGTTGCTGCCACGTATTGACGACATGGCACCTAACTGGTGTTCCATCGGGTGCACATGGAAGGAATGTCGCACAAGAATGTGACTTTCACAGGTGTCGATACATAGCTGCTGCCACGTATTGACGACATGGCACCTAACTGGTGTTCCATCGGGTGCACAAGGAAGGAATGTCGCACCAGAATGTTCGCCTTTCCGTCCCACCCCCCTCCCTCCGTGCCTGTCAGGCTGACCACTAGCGCCCAGGGGCCACTCCGTGCAAATTGGGCGGGCAGGGAGAGGTGAGCTGTGGAAGCAGCAGCAGCTGTAGCCGCAGCAGTTAAGGAAGCACGTACTCCTCAACTCACCTTGCAGCGTTCTCTCCAGCCCCCTCCCTCCCTGCGTACCAGTCAGGCTGACCACTAGCGCCGAGGGGCCTCTCAGTGCGACTGGGGGATGGCAGGGAGAGGTAAGGAGTGACAGTGAAGGCAGCGCATATATCTAGCCTACTACCCTTTTCTTCCCAACCCCTCCTTCCCTCCGTGCCTCTGAGGCTGGTCACTAGCGCCCAGGGGGCTCTCAGTGCGACTGGGGAAGGGCAGGGAGAAATGAGCAGTGACAGTGCAGGCAGCGGCAGCAACAGCCGCAGCAGCAGCAGTGAGGGGACCACATAGTCCTAACCTTGCAGCTCTCCCTCCCACCCCCTCCCTCCCTCCGTGCCTGTCAGGCTAACCACTTCTTCCCAGGGGCCACTTCGGGCAATGGGGGAGAGCAGGGAGAAATGAGTGGTGACAGTGCAGGCAGCAGCAGGAGGAGTCTATTTTTGAGGCGCCTCAAAAATAGACTCCTCAAGTAGGGAGAAATGAGCGGTGACAGTGCAGGCAGCGGCACCAACAGCCGCAGCAGCAGCAGTGAGGGGAGCACATAATCCTAACCTTGCAGCTCTCCCTCCCACCCCCTCCCTCCCTCCGTACCTGTCAGGCTAACCACTTCTTCCCAGGGGCCACTTCGGGCAATGGGGGAGAGCAGGGAGAAATGAGTGGTGACAGTGCAGGCAGCGGCAGGAGGAGTCTATTTTTGAGGCGCCTCAAAAATAGACTCCTCAAGTAGGGAGAAATGAGTGGTGACAGTGCAGGCAGCGGCAGCAGCAGAAGTGGCAGCAGCAGCAGAGGCGACAGCAGCAGCAGCGAGGGGAGCACATATTCCTAACCTTGCAGCTCTCCCTCCCACCCCCCGCCCCTCTTGTAAATGTCAGGCTAACCACTTCTTCTGAAGGGCAGGGAGAAATGAGTGGTGACAGTGCAGGCACTGGCGGCAGCAGCGGTGGCGGCAGCAGCAGCAGTGGCGGTAGCAGCACAATGCATGCGTCAAAGCACCTTCTGAGCAAGGCCGCAAAGTATGCATCACTCTCGTCTGCCCGTGATGGTGGTGGTGCTGCTGCTGGTGCTGCTGGTGCTGCTGGGGACACGGGGCCATCAGCGAGAGCTGGGGTGAATCAGCAGCGCCAAGGGCCGCAGTCAACACAGGAGCTGGTGCTGGCGAGACAGGTGAGCGCGAGAGGTGTGTGGGTGGGTTGAGGTGGTGGTGGTGCTGCCTGCTGCTAGTGGGGGTAACACGGGGCAATCAGCAAGAGCTGGGGCGAATGAGCAGCGCCAGTTGCCACAGTCAACACAGGAGCTGGTGCTGGCGAGACAGGTGAGCGCGAGAGGTGTGTGGGTTGAGGAGGTGGTGATGCTGCCTGCTGCTAGTGGGGGTAACACGGGGCAATCAGCAAGAGCTGGGGCGAATGAGCAGCGCCAGTTGCCACAGTCAACGCAGGAGCTGGTGCTGGCGAGACAGGTGGGAGCGAGAGATGTGCTGAGCCATGGATGCCACTGCTGCTGCTGTTGCTGGTGCTGCTGGCGGTGGTGCTGCTACCGCTGCTCTTATCGAGGCCGGGGACAATCAACCTGGACTGGGGAGCATCAGCAGCGCCAGTTGCCACAGTCAACGCAGGAGCTGGTGCTGGTGAGAAAGGTGAGAGCACCGCGGGTGCTGCTGGTGCTGGTGCTGGGGCTGGTGCCGGTGCTGGTGCTGGTGCTGGTGCTAGGGCTGGTGCTGGTGCTGGTGCTGGTAGTGCTGGTGCCCGTGCCAGTGTCGGTGCCAGTGCTGCTGCTGCGGCTGCTGCTGCGGCTGCTGCTGCGGCTGCTGCTGGTGCTGGTGCTGGTGCTGGTGCTGGTGCTGGTGCTGGTGCTGCTGCGGCTGCTGCTGCCGCTGCTGCTGGTGCTGGTGCTGGTGCCGGTGCTGGTGCTGCTGCTGCTGCTGCTGCTGCTGCTGCTGCTGCTGCGGTCGCTGCTGCTGCTGGTGCTGCTGCTGGTGCTGGTGCTGGTGCTGGTGCTGGTGATGGTGCTGGTGCTAGTGCTGCTGCTGCTGCTGCTGCTGCTGCTGCTGGTGATGCTGCTGGTGCCATGCTGCTGCTGCTGCTGCTGCTGCTGCTGCTGCTGCTGCTGCTGCTTGTGCTGCTGCTGCTGGTGCTGCTGCTGCTGCTGGTGCTGCTGCTGCTGCTGGTGCTGCTGCTGCTGGTGCTGCTGCTGCTTGTGCTGGTGCTGGTGCTGGTGCTGGTTCTGAAGGCCATTTTCTTCTTGTTGAATATCTCCTAGATGCTCTGCTGGTGAGCATGGACGAGCTCCTTCGCCGTGAACTGTGTTTTCAAACCAAGTGCGCTCATGAGGGAAGGGAAGGCAGCAGAGGAGTATATTATTGAGGCGCCTTAAAAATAGCCTTCTCCGTGAACTGTGCTTTCAAACAAAGTGCGCTCATAAGGGGAGGCAGCAGAGGATGCTTTGAGTAGACTCAAAAGCATGGAAGAGCTCGTGTTTTCAAACCAGGTGCTCTCATCAGGGAAGGCCTCGGAGGATTTGAGAGGACAAGCCTCGGAGGAAGGAGATTCATGGAGATCCAGTTCAGTTCAGGCCCATGTGACGGTGTCTCGTTTCCTCCCTCCGTTTGACCTCTTTGGCAGAAAGAGTACCGCGACCTATGCTTTCAGACAGAGGTGCTTATGAGGAAGATAGAGGCAATGAGGGAGGAGGAGGAGAGAAGGGCTGGGGCTGCTGGGAGTAGGGCTGGGGGTGACAGCGGCCAAAGAGGGGGGGTGGGGGAGAGGGAAGGAGGACTGGAGAGGGTGGAGGAGGGAGAAGAGGGAGAGGCGGAGGGGGGGGCGGAGGGGGGAGTGCGGGAAGAAGGTGGGGATAGTGAGGAAGCAGCACTGCTGGAGATAGCACTGGCCGAGGCGGAGCTGAGGGTGTGGCAAGCAGCAGAGAAACGGCTGTCAGGGTGAGTGGATCGGGTATGGGGGTGTCAGTCAGTCTTCTCAAACGTGCAACTCACCAAGGCATGGCAGCAGCGGAGCTGAGAGTGCTGCAGGCAGCAGAGAAGAGATATTCCAGGTGACTGGAGCTTCTTGTGCAGGCACAGATAATCCTGCAAGGTTACTGGGACGATGTGACGCTGGAGATGGAGATTCGATTTTGAGGCGCCTCAAAACTTGAGGTGGCTGGAGTCGCTCGTGCAGGCACAGATAATATGCAGGGATGCTGTTGGGAAAGATGTGAAGTTCGAGTTGGGGATTTTATGCCTGCACTAAACCCTAAACCCTGACTCCACTCACCTCAAGCGTTCTGCCTGCAAAACATTCATCTCTGCCGCTACCATTGCGATCTTCAGCCCCACATCCTCCACATTGTCCTCCGCATTATCATCTCAAACATTCATCTCTGCCGCTCAAACATTCATCTCTGCCGCTCAAACATTCATCTCTGCCGCTCAAACATTCATCTCTGCCGCTCAAACATTCATCTCTGCCGCTCAAACATTCATCTCTGCCGCTCAAACATTCATCTCTGCCGCTCAAACATTCATCTCTGCCGCTCAAACATTCATCTCTGCCGCTCAAACATTCATCTCTGCCGCTCAAACATTCATCTCTGCCTTACTCATACCATCACTCATTGCTTGACTTCTGTGCCTCCTCAAGTACCCATTCCACTCATTTCAACATCGTTTCTCCCTCCCCCTGCCCCTCTCCCTCCCCCTGCCCCTCTCCCTCCCCCTGCCCCTCTCCCCCCCCCTGCCCCTCCCTCCCGCTGCCCCTCTCCCTCTCCCCGCCCCTCTCCCTGCCCCTGTCCCTCTCCCTGCTCCTGTCCCTCTCCCTCCCTCCTCCCTGCTGTCCTCCCTTTTGCCCTTCGTTCTCTTCCCCTGTTCCCAGCGAGGTGGCAGCAGCAGGGGCCACCAATCGAAGGGTGCAGCAGCAGTGGGAACAAATAAAGGGTTTCGATGATGAGCGCAACAATAAGTGGGCGGAGTACGAGCTTATAAGGAGGATGAACCAGGTAACCGCGTTCCCTGCGTCTGTGTGTGCCATTTCCCAGACACATCCCCATGTCATCCCCATCTCCTTCCCCATATTTCATTTTGTCTCGGTCTTACTAGGGGGGGAAACCCCTGTCTACCTGTCTACTGACGCCGCGCTCACTGGACATCTTCCAGTGCTTACTTGTCTACTGATGCCGCACTCACTGGAAGATGTCCAAGGATAGAGCAAGCACATGTCCAAGGATAGAGCGAGCACATGTCCAAGGATAGAGCGAGCACATGTCCAAGGATAGAGCGAGCACATGTCCAAGGATAGAGCGAGCACATGTCCAAGGATAGAGCGTGTCTTCTTGTTTTCTTGTCTAGTCTTCTTGTCTAGTCTTCTTGTCTAGTCGCTGCCACGTAAAGTCATACGAGTGAGTGCATAACGAGTGGCACCTAAGTGGTGCTCTCTATGACGAGTGTGAAGTGAACGCAGTCATAACCATTTCCCCTCATGTCTTCTGGGGCCCTATCCCATGCGCTGCCACCCCATCTGTCCCTTGCTCTCCTGACCAACGGCGAGACCCAGAAGGCTCGGTTGAGATGCACGGCCAGACCTGCGACATGTGCTGTTTACATCCACCGGTCCCTTCGTCCACATGTGCTGTTTACATCCACCAGTCCCTTTTCCCACATGTGGTGTTTACATCCACCGGTCCCTTCGTCCACATGTGCTGTTTACATCCAGCGGTCCCTTTGCCCACATGTGGTGGAAGGAACCTCAGCGATGGCGCGGCCCAAAAGCCTTGGTTAAGAGGCAAGCGCATACTCGCTCTTGTATGTGGTGGAACCTGAACAACTGTCCCTTTGTCTTCTGACCCCCTATCAGGCCTATGCGCACATGTGGTGGAACCTCACCAACGGAGAGACCCACAGGGCTTGGTTGAGAGGCGCCTGTGGGCCCGCTCTTGCCTGTGGTGGAACCTGACCAGGTGTCCCTTTCTCTTCTGTCTCCCCGTCGTCTCCCCTCTCCCGTATCCCCCTCTCAGGCCTACGCCCACATGTGGTGGAACCTCACCAACGGCGAGACCCAGAAGGAACCAGTAGAGGGACACGCGCAGACCCCTGCATGTGTAGCCAACACCGGTCATAGTCGCCTGCCCCTCCTCCCGTGTGTCCCCCTCTCAGGCCTACGCCCACATGTGGTGGAACCTTAACAACGGCGAGACCCAGAAGGCCCTGGCAGGACATGTGGCGAAGGCGGGAAGCGCTCTGATTGGCGCGGTCCGAGCAGCTCGGAATCTGGCCACTCACGAGGTGACAGCTGGCGTGGCGCTGCCGCCCTCCTGGCTCTGCCGCCCGGTCTCCTGTAGCTTCCCATTGGCTGATATGCAAGAGGGGCAGGGGCAGGGGCAGGGGCAGGGGGAGCAGCAGCGCCCTGCTTCGTTTTCTTCCGCTGCCCCTGATGTCTCTGGTGCTGGTGGGATAGGTGGTGGTGGTGATGCTGCTGCTGCTGCTGCTGCTGCTTCTTCTGTCCCGTGGCCCCTCCTCTCCTCTCTCGTCCACCATCTCGCTCTCTCCCCCTCGCCTCTCCCTCTCCATCCCTCCTCCACTTCCTCTTCCTCCTCCTTCCCCCCCACTGCTCCCACACCCTCACCCGTCGATGATCCCATTCTCCCATTGGCTGCTGATGCTGCCCGGATTCTTCGGGCAGCTTGGGCGGCCAATGACTCGACATCAGGTGGTCGGGCAGGGAGTGAGTTGGCTGCTCATGCTTGGGGGTGTACTGGAGGGGGCAACACGGGGGGGGGCAGCATGGGGAGCGGGGGAGACAGAGGGGAGAGGGGGAGGGAGATGCGGGGGGAGGGGGGCGGAATGAGGGAGGAAGGCAAAAGGAGTGTGGTAGAGGGGGGAGCAGAAGGGGAAGCAGAATGGGGAGGAGGGGGAGGGAGGGGTGTGACGTCAGCAGTTTCCCTGAGCACAGATCTCCAGGCAGTGGCTCAGTTTGTGGAGGCCATGTCAGCAGCTGCTGATGTGGCAACTGGCAGTGCTGCTGAGCTGGAGCCAGCTGTCGCCAGCATGGCACGGTGAGTGCTGCTTGCATTTGAGCATGTTTTGGAACTTGCCCTCTCCTGACCACCTCCTCACGTTCTGGATCTCCACTTCCACTTCCCCACTGGTTTCACCAGGCACCTGGCTTCGCTTGTTATATTGTTACGAGCGGACTTTTGAGCCGACTCAGAAGTCTCCTCTTCCACTTCCCCACTGGCTTCACCACGCAACTGGCTTCCCTTGTTACATTGTTTCAACCCATTTCCCTTTATATTTCCAGAGGTCTGGCTGGCTTGCTGCAGGAGGCAGAGGGGCAGCATCTCGAGATGGTGTCAGAGTGGCGGCTGCTTTACTCCATACTTGCCTACCCTTGCTTTGTTTCAACACATTCCCCTTGATGTTGCCAGGCAGCTGGCTACCTTGCAGGAGGAAGCAGAGGGGCAGCACTTGGAGGTGCTGTCAGAGTGGCTGCCCCAGCTGGCGCAGCAGCAGGGGCAGTCCAGGCAGCTGGTCACTCGCACCCAAGACGCCTCTGACCTGGTGAGCTGAGATTGGTTTGGGTAAATAAAGAAATGCGCCTTGGAAGGGCACTTGGCTTTAGGTGCTCATGGCACAGCAGCAGCAGCACGGGCAGTCCAGGCAGATGATCCCGCGTTCAAAACTCCTCGAACCAGGTGAGTCGTTTCATTCGGCAGCTAGCGCAGCAGCATGGGCAGCCGAGGCAGCTGGTGACACGCTCTCAAAACGCCTCGAACCTGGTGGTGAGACGTTTCATTGGGTAGGTGTGTGCCTTTTACTTGTTAATAATGAGCACCTGGAGTTGCTGTCAGAGTGGCTCCTCAGCTGGCGCAGCAGCAGGGGACATCAAGGCAGCTGGTCACTCGCACTCATGGCGCTTCACAGCTGGTGAGCGGAGATTGGTCTGGGTAAACCCAGCGTGATGCGCAGGGGTAGGCGAGCTGGCTCATGCCTTAGATCACACAGCAGCAGCAGCACAGACAGTCAAGGCAGCTGGTCAGTTGTGCTCTAGTCGGCTCATACCTAGTGAGCTGACATTGATCTGGGTAAACCTTCAAAATGTGCATGTGGCACTGGTTAAACCCATCTGAGTAGATGTGCTCGTTCAGGTGGCGTAAACCCTCAATCTACTCAAAGCCGTTGCATTTTGCTTGTGGAGGTGAGGCCGGGGTCGCTACCTCGGATTGTGGTTGCTTTTGAGTCGACTGAAATGTCATGCTGGGGCCTCTCCCTCAGATTGCCATGCGATACAGCAGGCATCGACGCGGTACGGCATGCATCAATGCGATACGGCAGGCATCGATGCGTTATGGCAGGCATCGATGCGATACGGCAGGCATCCATGCGATAGGGCAGGCATCGATGCTTGTTCTGCGCTTCAAATTGTTCCGTGTTTCTAAGCGCGCCTCAAAGTTACGGCTATCTCCAATCCCTTTCCATAGCCTTCAAATCGTGCAGGTCTCTCATTGGTGGAGGCTGCCGGCCCTTGGGATCGTCCCTTGTCTTTAGGAGAAAAAATACTGATCCCGCATGTTAGCAGCCGGCCCCTCCCTCATCTTTCTCATCGTCGAGGTCTCTCATTGGTCTGCAGCCGGCCCTTGGGATTATCCCATGGTTTCAGCCGCCTCAGGCTCGTTACTCCCGTGGGTTTATCATTGGTGTCTCTTTCCCTTTACCTTCTCTCTGCAGGTCTCTCATTGGTGGAAGCAGCCAGTCCTTCAAATGATCCGGCCCTTGGGGATCATCTCTTGGTTTCAGGCGCCTCAGGTACCTTTCTTGTGTCGTTCCCCTGCCTTCTGCTCTGCAGGTCTCCCATTGGTGGAAGCAGCCGGCCCTTGGGATCATCCCCTGGGTGGCAGTGGAGGGGAGGAGCATGGAGGAGTGGGCAGTGGCGCTGGAGGGGGCTCACATGGACAGGGAGCAACAGGCAAGCCAGTCACAGGCACATAGGGAAGGCCAGATGCAAGGCAGCAGTCAGGTGCACAGCACAGGGCAGTCACAGGGAAGCGGCATGCACAGCCGTAGTCACTCGCAAGGCAGTGACTTGCATGGGGGAGGAGGGATGGATCCAGGGGGGATGGAAGGGATGGGAGCAGGTCATAGGCATGGCAAGGAGGGGGTGAGGGATGCTGGTATGCATGTCACAGGAACGGTGAGAGGGGGCTATGTGGAGGAGTGTACAGGAGGGGGGGAAGCTGGAGGTGAGGAGGGAGGAAGTAGTGGGGGTTTGAGGGGGGCATCGCTTGCTGGTGAGAGCCCGTATGCTGTGCGCCCTAAGCAGCTGTTTTGATTGGCGAGAGGGAGCGTTGGAAGTTTTGAGATGCCTCGAACGATGAGAGCTTGATCTTGTTACCAGTGGAAATGTTATACTTCTTGTCATGTTAATCTTGTCATCGTCCAGCATGGGTTTTTAGTAGGGTTTAGCGTAGTTCCCATTCTATGAGGAAATAGCTTTATTTAGTTTTAACATCTTGCTTATCTTACTGTGCATATTTTCTGTACCCGACGAACGACAACTTTTGGAGAGGGTGACTGTAAGGAAAATCCCTTTTCCTTATCGAGCATCGCTAACATCGAGTACAGTCCTGACTTTCGGAAGTCCAGGCTGGCCCGACATTTCAGGCTTGAACTACGTTTCGAGACCTCAAGCCTACACACGGTGCCGCATCCGACACTTCCGAGTCCCGAGGCGCCCCAAACCACCTCGCGTGTGTTTCGTGGCCCTCCTCGAGGCTCCCTTGCTAGGTTAGCTATGCTTGTATTTAGCCCTGTGCTTCATTTGTACTCGACACTTTTAAATCATGACCTCACTAGCATTCCTCGACTCCTATCCGGAGATTATCATAACAGCTGGTATCGGAGCTACGTTCCTGCCCATTTACGCTTCCATAGTGAGGTAGTTTTTAGAGGGACCTAACGCTGCAGGTGCCCGTAGTGTCTTTAGATGCATTAGCTAGCTAAGGTAATCAATATGTCACAGCACTGGGATAACCCTGTCGATCCTCTCTCTCTCTCTAGGGAGGGTACTGGGGAGGCTTTCCCCGAGGAAGGTAGATATGTGGAGCCTAACCCTCCTGATGACATCCCTGTCAACATGAGAAGTAATGATGACTAGAAGTGGAAACCTATAACAAATACAAGTTTGTTGTACTCACTAGAAGCATACCGTAGTCTAGCCTATAACTTCTACATAGCTAATATGTATAAGTTGACACACCCCCTAGGCTAGACAAGGGGTGAAACTAAACAACAAGCAAACAGCTCAGGGCGGCACTACTAATCCAACCACTGAGGCAGGGGTCTGGAGACCAGTCAGCAAGAATACAACCAAAACTAAAGCAAGCCAGGGCGGCACTACTAGTCCAGCCACTGGAGGTAAGGCCACAAGGCCAGTCTGACAGGCATATATAATAGAGAGTACACAATCAGGATCCTAACAGGGGAGCAGCTACAGGAACAAGACCAAGCTGTACACAGTGCCGCTGATGATCTTTAGGCGCAAGCGCCTTAGTAAAGATATCAGCTGTGTTGGCACCTGAGGCCAAGTGAACTACGCGGGCCTGGCGGCGCTGCTGTAGCTCGCGCAGGAGGAAGTACCGCAGCTGGATATGCTTCGCTCTGCCCTCAAGCCGAGGCTCCTGACACAGGAGTATCATGGCCCTGTTATCAGCGTACAGGACCGGGGCAGAGCTAGGCCGCTCACCTAAGTCTGTGAGCAAGAAGGTCAGCCAGCGGAGCTCCTGTGCCGCCATGGCACCAGCGTAGATCTCAGCCTCACAGCTGGACTGAGCCACAGACGACGAGCGAGTGGATCTCCAAGAGATAGCACCCGAACCAAGGCTGAAACAGTAGCCCTGCGACGACCTGAGCGTCTCAGCGTCGTCTGCCCAAGAAGCGTCTGTGTGCCCAGTAAGGACCACTGGCCTGCGTCCTCCTAGCACTAACCCCATGCCCGATGTACTAGCAAGATAACGCAAAACCCTCTTAGCGGCAGACCAGTGCTGAGGTCGGTGTCTGCTTGTAGCCACAAAGCGAGCCAGGATGCTGAGAGGGTATGCGAGATCTGGGCGAGTGCAAGTCATCAGGTACATGAGGCAACCCACCAGCTCTGCGTAGAGGCCACTGGGCTCTACTGGCTCCTCAGGAACGGGAGCAGAGAGCCCATGGTCTACGGGTAAAGGTGTGGGCTGTGCGGAGGAGAACTGAAGACCAAACCTCTGAAGGACCTGACGCACCAAGTGTGACTGGGTCAGAGTGATAGTGCGTGCTGCTCTGTCCCTAGAGATCTGCAGGCCAAGATAGCGACGCAGCTCTCCAAGGTCAGTGCAGGTGTGTCTCTTCAGCAGCTCAGCCTTCACAGAGGCCAGTGCGTCCCTGTCAGGAGTAGCAAAGACCAGGTCATCTACGTAGATAAGGATGTAGAACGGAGTCTGGCCGGAACGCACAAACAGTGAAGGGTCAGCAGAGGACGGAAAGAACTGCAGGTCTGCTAACGTGGCACGTAGCGTGTCATGCCACTCGCGGGGAGCCTGACGCAGGCCGTAGACCGGGCGCCTGAGAAGCCACTGGGTCCCAGGAGGGATGGTACCAGTGAAGCCCTGTGGTCGGCGCAGGTAGACCTGCTCGTATAGGCTGCCCTGAAGAAAGGCAGTAGAGAAGTCGAGGGAGTGAAGCTCGTAGTCACGCTGTGCTGCTACGTGTAGCAGCGCCCGAAGAGTGGTCATCTTCGGGGTCGGGGCGAAGGTCTGGAAGAAGTCAATCCCCTCGCGCTGACTGAAACCTCTGGCCACGTAGCGCGCCTTGAAGACAGGCGGCTCTCCAGGAGGGCGCTTCACCTTGAAGAGTCACCGACCATTGACTACGTTCACCCCAGGCGAGGGAACTGCGTCAACGTAAGTGCCGGTGGACCTCCAAGATGCCATCTCCTGCTCCATAGCAGCTATCCACTAAAAGGCCCAAGGTCCCGAGGTGGCCTCAGCGTAGGTGCGAGGGGTCGGGATGTCGAAGGCGTCTGGGTCATCCTCAGGGACTAACAGCATGGAGCAGAGATGGGGAGCAGCCTCGGAAAGGAAAGCAAGCTAGTACTGCCTGTCCTCCAGGATGTCACTGCCAAGGGCAGGAGCACCCCCGACGAACGGAGGACGGGCAGGGTCAGAGACCACAGCGGTAGCTTAGTCAAGGCGGCGGGTATCGGCGAAGTCAGCGACAGCAGCAACAAGCGCGTCAAGGCGCGAGACAGGAACAGCAGGGTCGGTAACAAGAGAGGCAGGGACCCGAGGGACAAGGGGACGAGCAGCACGGAGGTAGTCAGAGAACGGAGGAGGTGCAACAGCAAGGGACGAGGGAGGAGGGGACGGGAGGAGGGGAGGACGAGACGAGCGGGAACGGAGCAACATAGGGTGGGTGGGCAGGACAGGAGAGACGGGACGAGCACGAGAGGGACGGCGAGCCCAAACGTGAGACGGAGGTGTAGGGTCAGGGGACAGCGGAGGAGACACAGGAGGGGAACGAGGAGGAAGACGGGCCGGAGATGAGTCGGGCGGCAGGAACACAGGACCGTAGACAGGAAGGTCAGCAAGCGGTGGGGGAGACACCGACGCGCGGTCCGGGGAGGGAAGGCCAAGCAGGCGGAGAGCGGAGACCGGCGGCGACGGCTGCTGCGGCGGCGACGACGGCTGGGCCGGAACTCTCGGACCAGAAGAGGCAGAACGACCGTCGGCATAACACTCAACAGCAGCACCCCCAGAACCAACACCCCCAGAGTGAAAACCCCCTCCAACACCAGCGGCACCCCCAGAAGCCGCAGGACGAACACCCTCCTCCACACCAGCACACCTAGGGGCCAAGAGCGGCGGCGGCCGTGGCGGCGACGACAACGACGGCGACGGCAGCGGCGGCTGCAGCGGGGTCGGCGACTGCGACAGTGGGGGCGGAGGCACCAGGGAAGCGGGACACGGCAAGGACAGACCGGGGGTACCACCAGAGTCAGCAGACTCCTCAACGGGGACAACCGACGGGAGGGGAGTGACGTGAGAGACACCAGACGGGGCAGGACGAGGCGGGAGAGGGGCAGGGGCTACCGGGGGAGAGGGAGCAAGGAACAGGGGGGGGGCAACTGGGAGACCTCGGTGAGGGAAGCGGCGGTAGAAGGAGACGGACTCGTCAAAGGTAACGTCACGAGAGTGGAGGAAGCGGTGAGACGGTGGGTGGTAGAAAAGCCAATCAAACGAGTCCAGGGGGAAACCGAGGAAGACACAGGGGACAGTGCGGGCAGTGAGCTTGTCCGTGCCAGAGGCACGAACGTGAGCAAGGCAGCCCCAGACGTGGAACGCACACGCGTCACCGGGGGACCCGGTCCAAAGGAGGGTCGGCGAAACCTGCGGCCGCTGGGAGCATGGCCACAGGTTAAGCTGGTGAGCAGCGTAGCGAACAGCGAACGACCACAGAAAATGGGGGGCATCGGCATGGATCATGGAGGTACGGGCGACCTCCATGACCAAGCCGATGCGGCGCTCAGCAACCCCATTCTGCTGTGGCGAGTTCGGCGAGGTGTACGACTGGGTGATGCCCTCCGCACGACAGAACTGTCCAAGCCGACCAGAGGCGAACTCGCCGCCACGGTCGGAGTGGAGACACAACATGGGGAGACCGCGGTGGAGACGCGCAGCCACAACCCACGGGAGAAGAATGTCGGGCACGTCGGCCTTCCGCTCTAGGGGAAACACCGTGGTGTAGCGCGTGTAGTCGTCGACGAGCACAAGGAAGTAGCGCTCACCGCGCGGTCCGGGGACGGGGGCATGGCCCCAAACGTCCAGGTGCAGGGTCTGAAGGGGGGCAGTAGCAGGGCGTAGCGAGGAGGAGTGAGGAGCACGGCGGAGTCGACCCTCGACGCAAGGCGTGCACGGTGGCGCAGTTGAGGGAGGAAGGGCAGGGAGCGATGCGGGGAGACCTAAGACAAGACCGTGCTGGGACATGCGACGCAGACGCGGGAGAGCAGGGTGACCTAAGCGGTGGTGCCAGAGAAGGGACGGGTGAGTGAGGGACCGACACGAGCAAGCTGCAGCGACCTGGGAGGACGCACCAACCGGGGGGGAAGCGGTGTCTAGGGTAAACAGACCGGACACCGGGTCCCGGGGGAACGTCACAAGGGGGAACCTGGGACAGCCTCAGAACAAACAGCGAACCGCTCGTGCCCGGGGAACGTGGTGGTGACGCCGAGGTCCTGGAGACAGCCGACACCAACTAGGTTCCTGGAGAACGAGGGAACGTGGAGGCCAGTAAGGGAGCCTGAGGGAACTGCCGGACAGGGAAGGGACGTAGAACTGCGCGCGACGATAGGACCCGCAGAGGGGTCAGCGAGAGAGACAACAGCAGGTGCAGCAAGCGGCGTGAGCGTGGAACGGTCGCGGAAGAAGCAGGCAGAAGCACCGGAGTCGAGAGTGAAGGACAGCGACGCAGTGGCGGAGGCCGGGGACGGAGCCGGTGCAGCGACTAGACTAGGCAACCTAGGTAGTCCTACGCCTGA